AGTTGTTATCACTTCTATTTTTTAATCTTTGTATTATACATATTAAGAATCTCAGTCCCACATTGATGTTGGAAGAGACTGAATATCAATATAAAAGTATATGGGTTACTCTCCTCATTGTCAATTGGTTTTGAGGTGGAACCGCATAGGCTTTTATATGGTATCAGAGCCAGTCCGCCGACATTCGGACTTCAAAAAAACCCCCCAAAAAATAGGGCTGAAACATGAGGCGGTGTCTGAGCTAAAAAAAATAATAGGTCAAGCCCAACCCAAAAAATATATTGGGCTTGCGGGGGAGTATTGAGAATTCCAACATTAGCGCGGGAAAAGACTGAATATTAATATAAAAGTATATGAGTTACTCCCCTCATTGCCAATTGGTTTTGAGATGGAACTCATGGACTTTTGTACAATGAGGGGTTTTTGTACAATTGGCAATGAGGGGGTAATCTATGTACTTTTATATTGATATTCAGTCTCTCTCAGCACCAATGTGAGACTGGGATTCTCAATAGTATATATATATATATATATATATATATATATATATATATATATATATATAAAAAGTAGTTCGTGATTCAAAGAGTACAGTTATCCTTACCATTGATTGATATTAATATTCCAGAATTGAAATCTGGTGCAAAGAGACGCATATATATATATATATATATATATAAAAATAAACACTCTCGAAAACTAGTTGACATTTTTCTAATAGTTTTAGAGATGACTTTCCACTTCCGGATTCTTCCTATATAATGAGATCATGTCGGGAAACAAATTTTTATTTTAGTAATTTCTTTATGTACCCATGATGGAGTTAATCATTTCTGAAATACTACTTCCGTATTTGTTCTACTTGTCGCAATAAGTTGTGCACAAGATTAAGGTAAATAATAAGTGAAAGTGTAATTTATAAATGTAAATATACTTAAATTGTTTCTCTAATTAAAAATGCTAGAACTAGCAAAAATTTAATACTTTAGTTCAAAAGTAGGTAATTGTCACAAATATAGGCTATTAAAAGTTGGAAAACATGAAAGTAAAATTTATTAATAGTACATAGAAAATAAAATGTTACAGATGGAAAAAGTGTTTGATTCACCTTAACATAACAGTGAAAAAAAAATGGAGATAGTAACTGTTAATTGAATTGGAATTGACGGAGAACCTCTGTAATTAACCAGTGGAAGGTTTCATTTGAATATGATGATAAAGCCAAAGTATTCATCATCATATATAATACATCTCTGTTTTCGACTGTTTAACATTAGGGTTTCTCAAATCTAAATCTATATAAAATTTTGTTCAAGATACAAGATTCATGTTATATTCACTATCTAATTTCTAAATGAAATGTTTCATATACTTCATCGAATAAAAGATATATTGTATGCGGGGAAAAGAAATACTAAAACTAAATTCTGTGACGTTTGTACATTTCGACGGCTGGAAGCTGCAAATTACGATTTACAATGGATCGGCAAAGGTGATTTTGAGGCTTAATCTGAATCAGTTTGATTGTAGTTTACCAACTTACCTATGTCTCCAGGGTACATATTTTACACATAATTGTCTTCTTTTCAAATAATTCGTCAAATGAAATTATTCAATCATTGCTAAATGCAGATCGAGATTAATATTTTTTATAAACATAAAAAGGGCAACCTAAATTAACATTTTGATCCAAACTAATGTGAATATTAAAATAAGATCCTCTACGATAATTGCTTTTAATATACATTTTTTTGCGGGATTGAAGTGGTAAATTGAATTGGTTTGATAAGTTTTGAACCGACCTGGTAATGACAATAATTTTTTTCATGATAGATTAGTTAGTTGCTCAAGAAATTAGACTTTAAGAGAGGTTTCAACAAAGGTGAGCTATATATGGCCATTGGCCATCATTTTCAATACTCACTGCAAATTGCAATTTGAGATCAGCAGATGATCGAGGGCGAATTGTCGGCTTTTGGCATTATTAAATTATTAAATCATTGATTTAATTAATTAATTAATTATGAACAACTTTTCTTGGTTATCTCAACAACAGGGAAAAGAGAGTCACCATCAAAGGCATCAACCAATCAAATCGCGTCTACGGACGCAGAAAAAGTAATTAACTTCCTGTTAATCTCCTTGCTTAAGTCCGGGGTCCCCACCATTCTTTTCCCTACCTAATTAATTAACGTTTGCTAGTAGTATAATAGTACATCATTTAAATTAATTAAATCACACCATCTTAAGAGTCTTTATTTAAAGGATTAAGCTAAGTCCAAGGTTTTGTCTATGTGACAATACAAATGATATCACCCCAGCTGGCTTCCTTTGTGGACCACAATTTTTTTATCATATTAATACAAACAAAATTAATTAATTATATAGGTCTACAACTAATTCACACACTCTCAAATTTAGAGTCTGTTTGTTTGTTGTATCAAAACGGTACAAACAAACCCAAGCCTTATGTATAAGTTAAGTCGGAAGAGTACAAATTATGTAATGAGAAACATAAAGAATATTCAAAGGAGAACAAATGGGATCACATAAGCATAGAGAAAAAGATAATTAATTAACTAATCTCTTTTTTGCCAAAAAAAAAAAAAAAGAGTAGAATATCGGGGACGAAGTTAGAACCAATAATTTAAGTGATTTGTGGATTATCTATTGGAATAAGAGGTGGAGAATGCTTTGATACCACCACTATTGGCGTGTGTTAGCCGATTGAATTATTACATTATTATAAATAAATGGAGAAGTGACATATTATTAACAAAAATCCAGAGATTCCTCCCCAATTTTATTTAATAAAAATTGTCATCGTAGTACTTGAATTTCTTTTTTATTCTGTGGTTGGGGTGGAATGATATGATTGATAGAGCATTAAACTCAGCATGATTCCCTGGAACAATCATTTGTTGATGAGCACCTAGCTAGAAGAAACTCTTTAATTAATTAATTAATTAATTAATTTACCTCTTATAACTTTAAATATGTTTCTTTTTTATCGTTACTGTGAATTTTATTTTTAATTTTTAACTTATAAGTTAGATCCTCCAACACAAAGAGTAAATTTTGATATCTTAGTAGAGTCAGCTAAGAACAAGATTTAAGATTTTAAAATTGTAGTCTACATATGCGGCACCAAAAGCAAAATGAATGGTTTTTTTTTTATTTGACTTATTAATTAGTACAAGCTATTTCTTAAACTTTTACCCTATGGAACGAAGTCAAAGATTATAAATATAGTGTTAGCATCTAAAGGATAAAATAAAAAGAAGCAGTATGATTTGAAGGTTAATTGAAATAAAGTATTACGTAAAAGTATACTATTAAACGTGCACACGAGTATTACTATTTTTTGCAATTTTGTATTCCATGATAATTTCTGTTAGAAATGACAGGCAGTACTACTTTTTTTTTGTTTTATAATTATTACACTTTGCAATTAAGATGGTTTGTTTCTTAACATCGTGATTTGAAACTTTTAAAAAATATAGTATTGTGTTGTACGTACTTTCACTACAATTACTAGAAAATCAAGCTTTCGTGATCCATTACTATTCGTTGCTCGATAAAATGGTAACTTTTGAAAAAGTATAGACATATTTTTTTGGTGTTGGTAGTCAATATCTGTCACCAACTCCTTATTCACACTTTTTTATTAAGTCAATTATTAATCTAGCAGCAGAAGAAGCGGCTGATTAGGTGCATTATACGTGATTTGATTCATTCTTTTTTTTTCTAAGTTAATGAGAATTAAACGATTTAAATAATGGAGATTAATAAACCCTTCAGCAACCGAAGAATTGTCGCTTGTGAATTACGGGGAAAAAAAAAGGCATGTCGCCCTATTTTATTAGTATCGTAAATTTTGAAGTTAAATATATATGTGATGTGATAACATATATAGGTTTGGACGCTGCGTGCATTTAATAAAAAAATTAAAAAAAATAATAATCCCTAACCTTATAAAAGATATCCCCTTTCAAAAAATATGAGGATGTTTTGTTGTATTCTTATGAGAGAAATGTAATTTGTCATTAAGGGTATGTTGCTGGTGTTCCTCACCTTAAAGATTTTTATATATCTCATCCTTTTTGCCAATGAAAGTTGAAAGCTCCCATAGGGTTTGATTTTGGATATTGTTTGCTCTTTAAAAATGATTTGAGGAATCAAATGCTGAGGCGAGTTCCACATTTGATGTTGAGATTTGGATTTTGTTTCAAATACTTCCTCTGTTCTAAAATTATTGTCCAGTTTGAAATTTCATTTTTAGTACAATTTGAACTAAAAATGAAAACTTAAACTGAACAATAATTATGGGACGAAGGGAGTAATATTTCAGTAGCAAAGTTTTGTGGGGCTTATTATATTGTGAATTTAATCACTTTAAATCCGTCACTGGGTAATCTTGAGTTAGAAGATGGGAAAATATTCTGCTCTCAGTGGGATAACTTTCAAAATACTTGTATGCTGAATGTTATTTGTTCATCATTAGGTCCATAATCCAAATCGTAGCATCAACCTTGTCCACACAACAGGATGTCCCCAATGGACTCATTTTGAAAGCCCATTACTTTTGTTTTCAGGATATTATCATGAATGAGGCAAAGTCATACTTACTACTAATATTTAATTAGGCAAAACAGGGGACCAAAAAGACAATCAAATTACAAACCTAAAGATCATTGATGAAAAAGGTCACACTACTTGATTAGTCCAGTATTAAATTAGCAGGTTCATCCATGAAAACTAGAATACAAATTTATGTATTGGTCTAACCAAAGTGGTTGTGGTGGAGTGGAAGGGACTCTTCTGCCTTTAACATTAGGTCGAGGGTTCGAATCTCGCCGTGGACATAAAGTAACCTTAAAATATTTTAGCCAGCTGTCCCATCCAACTTTAAAATACTTTAGCAATCCGTGTCAATTTATTAGATATTAATCAATACATACAAGGTACAATGTTTCACAAGCTAAAAGATATTAATCTCCTCATTGAAAGAGTTTCTGCTTCTTCCAGTGGTATGCAGCTTCCAACATTTTGAGACTTTTGTTAAGTGCTTCCTCAGGGAATAAATAGTCCATATACTCTTCATATCTACCCAGACCATCATCATCCTCTACCTCTATACGCCTTCTTTTTTTCACTTTCTTCGGCAATTTCGCACTAACAAGATCAACTTTGCCAACAGCTCCAGCGTTTCTCTCCACTTTTAGCCATTCCTCCAACAGCATTGCCCTTTCCTCTCTAAGTTCCGGAGCCTCAGTCACAAAGTAATCGAGAGCTCTTTCAAAAACACCTCTTGCTCGCTGAATGCATTGCTCCTTGGCCTCTTCTTTCGGCCCTTCTTCCATAGCTGATGCCTCAAACTTGGCATAGCTTAACCAGACCTTGAAGTGCTTCGTGCGCTTCAGGAGCCTCTCATAAAGCGCTCTTGTTTTTCCAAACTCACCTTTGGATATCTCGAAATCAATGTATGCCTTCCACAATACCTCAGGCAAGTCTAATGCGGGTTGTTCAATAGCAAGCTCAAAAATCTCTCTTGTTCGCTCAGTTTCAAGTAAAGAATTTTCCATTTCAGCAAATTTGATCCAGCCATTGCAATTCTGTGGAGACCACGCCAGATACTTCTCAAACAGCATACGGCAACGGTCTATATTTTCCAGCTTCAGTTCCATTTCAATGTACTTCTCAAAGATCTTAACCTTTGGGGCCCTGCCAATAGCTTCTCCAAGGATTAATCTCGCAGCTTGAAGATTCCGCTGTCGGATCTCAAAATGAGCTGCCAACCACCATATCTTTGCAAATGTGAACTTCTTGTGTGGGATAGTACTTAAGCATAACTTGTACACTTTTCTAGCACCCTCCATATCCTGAGCTTCAAGCTCCTCAAACAAAGCGTAGTTAATCCACAAATAAATATATCGCCCCCAATACCGTTTCTCTTCAGCTGAGGAAGCTGAGCAATTGCTCGTTTATAAACGTTCCTAACATTTTCTTTACCTCCAGCATTCTCTTCGAACTTAATGTAATTAAACCAAGCATCATAGTTGGAAGGGTTCATTCTAACTTCCTCCTCGTACTGAAACCTCTTCTTCCGCAGAATGGCATCTTCAATCTGCTCACTGTTTCCAAACCGCTTTTCAAAAGCCACAAACTTGTCATACAAACCTTCCTCCCCTGCTCTCTCTCTGGGGATATGATCAAGTGCCAATAGAGAAAGATGCCTAGCTCTCTCCACGTCTCTGCACTTCTCCTCAAACTCGGCAAATGACATAAACAACCGGCCGGCTTCCTCGTCGCCAACAAACTTGTTCGCTGCTCTTTCGAAACACTCTCTTGCTAGACGAATCTCGCTGTTCTTCATCTCAAACTTGGCATACCTAATCCAAGAATCTATTCCAGGGTGACAATCAACGAACCTCTCAAAAATCGCCCGAGCCTCGCGACTTCACTGTACCTCCACTCAAACCTAATAAAGGATAACCACGCTTCATGTTCGGGATTCCAGCTCATCCACCTCTCGAAAACACGCCGAGCCCTGGTGACATTGCCGAGGGTTTCTTCCATGTTAATGTACTTGAACCACAACTGATCGACCCGGGGCAAAATCGTCACATCTCTATTCCACACATTCCGGGCATTGTCAATGGACTTACTTCGCATCTCAAATTCAGCATATTTCAACCACAGAGTATGATCTCTGTGATGTACCTCGAGGGCTCGTTCCCAAATCGAACGGGCACGTTTAAAATCTTTACGGGATTCTTCCCACTCGGCATACTTTACCCAAACGCTTTTGTCCCATCGGACACGGCGGATTTGATCTTCGAATTCTTTCCGCTTTTGAAGGCGATAATCGTCGAGTTCAATCGAATCGGTTATTCTCTGTTTATTGGCCGGATCAATCGGGATTCTTGCCCCTGCCGTGCTTCACAGAGGATCTGCTCGGCGGTGATTTGGATCGGAGCCGGCGACATATTTTTGACTCTGGTCGGCCGAGGTAAAAACCCAAAATTTAGGTTGTGAGAATCCATGGTATACTACGTACAGTGTAAAGTGGAGTACACGAATCGAATATCTCTCGGTATTTATAAATATTTCTCTCTGGTTTGTCGTACCTTTTCCTAACCCTAATCGGAGTACAATGTGGCAAAGGAAACTGAAATTAAAAGGACATCCTTACTGTAAAAAGAAATTTCCTACATCGTTTAATACTATGTAGATATGGTAATAATAAATATATAAGAAATATTTTTATCCTCTTTTACCTATACATTTTTGTAATCAAAATCAATAAAAAAAAATCCCAACCGACTTACGATTATGCAAAAACCGACTATAAATATCAGCTCACAATAGGTTCATTTATTATCCAAATAAATCTGAAACTCTGTGGATCAATATTTCTGGCGGTGACACACCATACATGAAAATAGTTTTCGAGCAAAAGATTTTAATGGTCGATGTTTCTTAGGCAAATTCGAATATTCACCAACATTAGTAGTAATATGAGACTCATCATGTGCTTCACTACTGTTGGAACTAGAATCTTCATCTTCACCACTTTTCATGAATTCTTCAAGTGCATTTCCAGCATATTCAGCAGCCTCTCTAACCACCATGTTTTCCACTAATTTATGTAGATGGGAACTACCTTCTCTTTTGTGGTCTCCTTTCAGTATAGAAGCTAATTGCACCAACTCTGCCTGAAATTCGCTCAATTTTGACTCTTCATCATCTCCGCCTACCTCCCTGTCTACCAACTTTATTGGCTCCGGTAGTGTGACTGTAGTTGGTAATTAATTGAAATATACATGAAAATTGATGTTATTGTTAGAAATAATCAAGTTATAATTTTGTGGTGAGTATTATGAAGAACAAATTAATACTCCCTCCGTCCTAAAATTATTGTTCAGTTTGCATTTCCATTTCTAGTTCAAATTGTATTAAAACTAAAATTATAAACTGAACAATAATTTTGGGACAAGGGAGTAAATAACAAGAAATTTTACCAGGACAATCCGTTCTAGGGCTATTACGAGTGAGAACACAATCGAAAGTGGCAGCCCATGCATCTCTCTTTGTTAAAAACCCTTCAAGATTGAAAATCTTCTTCACTGTGGCTGGGATCGAGGAATGCTCGAATTGTGAAGTTGAACTTGGACCTACTGCCTCATGTAGAACTGTAATACGTACTCAAGAACATGAATCAGGATATATATAGAGTAATGGGCTATAGTTCGAGCAGTATTGACTTAATTAAAATCCTCTCTAAAAAGATAATCAACTTTGATATATTAATAGAAATTATGCCAAAACAATGAATCGCACTGATAATTACTATCGAAGTATGTTTATGGTAGAAATTCAATCACTACGAGTACTCGTAATTAGATCACGTGAATTATAATGAGACCAGCATATATTATATCCACGATATAGAAGGCTTCTTAAGTCGCCTTTTTCAAATAAACGTTTGTAGCGATAAATAAAATATACTATTACAAATAATTAAAGAAAAAGAAATCACTAATAGCAAACTTACCGGTTCCAGGATCAATCCAAGGTGAAATTAGAATGGCAGGAACCCTAACTCCAAGTCGATCAAACCCAAAATTATGTGGTGGGGGACTTATTATGCCATCAGGGTTGGGAACACCGATGGTGGGCGTCGGAACATGGTCATAGAATCCGCCGTGTTCATCGTACACAACAATGAACAAGATTTCATTCCATTGTGGGCTTGATCGAAGTGCTTCATAAACTTCTTTCACAAACTTCTGGCCTTCGGACACATCATGGGGTGGATGATCATCATTTGCGGGAAGAAACTTGGTCCCAAAGTATCGCTGCTCAATTACAACGTAGTTTGGTAGCTTCCCCTCTTCGCAGTGCCGTTTGAAGTTCATATCAAATTGGTGGAAATTCTTTCGGTACTTCAACTTTCTTAGGTTCCTGTTTGATTTAGAGAGCCTAAATTTAATCTTATCCATTCACATCATATTATATAGCTTCTCATTTTGGAAAGTTTTCAAATCAATTTTGAAATATTGTTTTTATTTATTTTTTATTTTTTTAAATTGGATGAATAGTAATTCTCTAGTTACTTCTAGTTTAATTCAAATTCATGACTTATTAAAATGAATAAGAGTCTTATATCATTAAACTGCACCTCATTATCATATTGTTAATCATTTTATTTTTAAATAAGTTGTTCATTTATCGATCAAAATCAGATCACGTGTTCAAACCTTTTTCAAGACAAGTAAATATCAAAGCAGATTGATCGTTGATTTGTCCCCTTTTCTTATGGATTACAGAGCTGGCACATATTCCCTCAACCAAATATTTTGTCGTTTTATGTATTCTGCTTAATTAATTTTCTTGATCAGAGATATACTCAACATTTTTTATTGTATCCTCAACCTGCTCAATTATCAATATACAAACAAAAAGATCAACCTAAGCAGCAGATTATTATGGCCTCTAAGAAAACAATTGACCTGTGTAACATCAATGAGTTTGTGAATAATATTTGAAGACAAAAGCGAACTGGCTACCTTTAATAAAATATACTACAAAATAATTATCTTATTTATCGCAATGTATAGAAAATAAGATTTTTTTTAAAAAAAATGTAAATCAATAGAATAATAATTTTTATGTCTCATAACGTGCTATCTATAATTCTGTCAAAAGCATAGTTTGAAATGGGAGATTTCGCTGTCTCGATCCTCACCTTTTCATGGCTCCATAAGTATGTGTATTCTCTCAATCCTGATCACTAGCCACAATATACGTTTGCTTTAACTAAAAGTGAAGTAACGTACTCTTTTATAAAACAATTAATTATTCCTATTCGTGAAATATAGAAGAAATTCATTATCATTATGCAGCATTCTAGGCAAGGACACCTTAGAAACAAGAAACTGCTGTTTAGTTCTATTTTAAATTTTTATCTATAATTCTTCAATTTTATTTTTATTTTTTTAGCGATAGAAATGACGAATTTATCTTCTTCTTCTTTTTTTGTGAGGGAATCACGAATTTATCTAGACATGATTAAGTGATAGATGTAACATCATTGACACAACCACCTTTTGAGAATACATAATGTTAACTTATATTATTTCGATTTTTTTTTAAACTAAACAACTAAATTCGTTGTCTTTCTCATCAATTCAAGAATGTGAAATATAATACATGCTACGTGTCATTCCATTTGCAAACATCAATCACTAGCTAACACGTTTAAGATTTACAGTAAATAAGAATTAAAACGAAACTTTTTTTTTTCTTTTCTTGAACAAGAAGTCTGGAAAAGGGATGATGAAAAGGTTATGAAAAGGTTACCTGAAGAAAAGGGTGGAAGGAGGGAACTGGTAATAAACTCCAAAACTGAATCCACTTTGTTCCAGTGACTCAAAAATGGTCTTCTGTGGATATCCTTCAATCATCATCTTAGTATCATTAATCACAGCACCATAAGATGTTGCGGAGTGAACAAACAGCCGATTCGGTTGCGTCAATGTCGGCGCCGACGAGAACCACCGATCACAAACCGCGAATTCCGACACCAGCTCTTTGAAAACAGGCAACAACTCCGGCTTGTACCCGTTCATAACTTCCGACGACATCCCTTTCAGTTTCCGTTCAGCATTCTGAACAAAACCCTCCATCGTAGGAGGAAGATTTGGCGAAGGCGGCGAAGATTCCGTCCATTGTACGCCAAATATTTGTTCATATGTGTCTTCAAATGAGTGGCCCGGATCTTCTTTCACCTGACCCGATTGATCGCCGAAGTAGAGTCGATTTGATTCAGGAGATGGAGTTAGCAATGGGTTTGATTCATTTCCGGATACACCATCGATTTGTGGGTTATGGGATTTCTTCATCCATCCTAACACGTGATCAAACGATCGGTTTTCTTGGACTAAAACTACTACTGTTTTGATTGGGTATTGGTATTGCTTTTCAGTCTCAGGCATTTCGTTTGGTAAAAGGGACAGGAAGAATGTTTGATATAGAAATCAAAGCTTTGTGAACTGTATAAATTGAGCAGAATGTGGAAGTTGGTGACAAAAGAAATCAATTAAATACTAGAAAAAAAAGTTGCAAAATTTGGTGGTGCCAAACTAGGTGATAATGATATGTTTAATTAGTAGTATATCATACTTTACCAGTTTGCTTTACCAAAATAAAAAAAAAATAAAAAAAAAAGTAGCGTCTCTAACTGTTTTTTTAGCTCAATTTGTTGAGCAAACGCAAAAGGAATACAAAAAGATGGATTAAGAGTTCAAGGGATCACGTTTATTGGATTTAACTTTTTCCTTATCCTCTATATAAATCACCCATTCACGTATATCTCCTCATAAAAAGGAGTTTAAAACTTCTACATTTTACATATCTTGTGTGCTTAAACTTTCGTCTCTTTAAGAAAACAATGTTGCATTAAATGGAGGGTGAGTTCTCAGACTCTCAATTTATTTATCGCGAAGACTAAAAGAAAATTTTAGTTTCCTTTTCTTTTCTTTTTTCTTTTTTTATTTTTTTTATTTTTGCATATAGTACGGGTTCTATGGTTGACACTTGACACTAAAACAAACTTATTGATGAGGACGTCGCTGTTTAAGTAACTCTAGTTAAATGTGTTGGTGGAAATATGGGTAGTATTCGCAAAGGTTAAGGAAAAATGGAGGAAGAAGAAGAAATTTGATGCTCGTGAAAACACGATCTCCTTAAAACAGATTTGTCCCCTCCTATGGTGCTTGAAGATCTCGAGCAACTGTTTCCTAGGGGAAACGTAGAGACTATTTAGCACAAAGAATTTCTACTAGCGAACGAAACTTAGAACACGATGATGAACACCGAAACAAAAAGAAAAAGAAAGAAAGGCTCGAAAGAATACTGAAAGAGGAAGAAGGATTGGTGTGTAGAATTATGAAAAATGAGTGCCTATTTATAGGCTGGAGAAACTTTTGAAATGGCACCAAAACTTCAAACGGTTTTGGTGTTATAATTCTTTCAAATGTCCCGAATTTATGGCACATAAATAGCCAAAATTTTTTGACAATCAAACAGTCAAAAGAATTCATTCTGCCATTTAAACAGTATTAAATTCGCCATTTATTTGCTCATTCAACAGCAATATTTAATTGTAACGTTTCAGCAATATTGTAACAGCAATATTCAACGGCATTCGTGTTCGCAGGTCGTGCGCACACATGAGTCAAACTATTTTGGTCCCGAATTGGACCTCCATTTGCATTCCCCTGCGCGGACGTACGCGAGTGGGAGAGATGTGGTATAGTATTCGCAAGTCAACTTGCAAGTCAATTTTGGGCTCTCATTTATAAAATGAGCTCCAACTCTTCTTAACACCCATGTGGGACAAAATCCCTTACCCTTAACTCTAATTTTTTCAACTCTTGAGAAACTTAATTCTCATTCACTTACTACTCATTTCCAACAAAAAAAATCATGTTCTTCAACCCGAAAATGTTATTCTAGTTTTTGAGTACTTGTAGCAGTACGTATATAAAACTAACATCACCATTTTTATAAGTAATGATGTATAGTAGTAGTAGATCCATTAAAAATTAGGTGGATATACAAATTTTCCTAGTAAGGATTTCTTATACCGCTATGCTATTTATTTTTTTATTTTTTTTTTATCATTATACTACATCTCTGTTTAGTGGACTTTTCTACTTACCCTACTGGGTTTTTGAAATTACCAAGCACACTTCGGAAATTCCAATCCGATAAATCGTCTATACTTTTAGGAAATTATTATTATTATTATTATTATTATTATTATTATTATTTGATAGCATAGGAAATTCTATTTACCTGAACCAAAGTTGGATCTCGGGACTTGGGAGAGGAATTTCTTCAGAGGCACGTCTATATATATAATTTTAAAATTTCCCAAGAGGGGAAAAAGAGGATCGAAGCTAAAATAGAGTGAGCGGTCAGGCGTTGGAGTTGAAGATAATATTCATGCTTGCGACGCATTTGACAAGGGCCACGAAGTTCACATCCAAGGCGGCTCCTTCTCAAGCTGAATTACTGTTTAAGAAGTATAAGATCATTAAGGAGAAACTCAAGGTCCACACAAAGGAAAGAATTGAACCAAAGTATGGCAATGCTGCTGATAATAATGACTACAATGATCAACTTCCGAAATAACTTTTACATGGTCAAACGGAAAGAGAAGTCGAATATGACCGGACCGGGTCGGATCATAAAAGGCCAGCTGGAAGAAACCCTTGTTCCTCGGAGCAAATATGAAGAAAACGGTTACATCAATAACCACAGGAGCGCTTGGGGGTCTGGGTGGAAAGATCATCAATGGGGGATATGAACGCTGAAAAACACATTGCACCGGAGCTGCTGGTATTGAAGCTGGTGAAGGTCTTTTGAGGGCTAACATTGCTCGCAAAGTTGTTACTGTTGATCAAGATACGCCCGCTTGAGTGAAGGAAACAAGGTTTGCCTGCTGGGAAACTGATGTCCTTGATGAGATGAAGGGAAATTAGCTGAAGCACTCAAGGAGGAGGATGGAAGGAAGATGGAAGAGAAAGATGAAAGAAAACGGGAATACAATGTGAAGTGGAACGAGGATGTCACCCTTTAAGAGGAGATGGAAGCGTATAGGCTGCAGAGACTGCATCGGTGCTGATCCAACATATTTTGTTAGACCTACCTTCAGTTAACATGCATCCAAAAGTTTTGAAGTTTTGCTTAGATTGCATGAATATAAAATCAACTCTAGATTGATCAATGTCTTAAAACTACAACTAACGTGTGTAGTTTGTCCAGAAGGGTTGGTGATTTTGATATGAACTTTAATCAATTTGAAAAGAAAAAAAAAAAGAAAATATAGAAGGTTATATAGTATCTTAAATAAGCCTCCCCCTCCACGAATTCAATCTAAATCAAGGGGTCAAATGTGAAGCATGCCGTGAAAAGCTTGTAAACTAAGAATGCATTCTTCCTATTGTATGTACTAACCCATCGGGTCCAATCACTCTGATCAAAGTTGTCAGTCTTATATACACTAGATCAAATATGTGTGTAAACAAGATGTAAAAGAGTACTGAGAACTTTTGTAGAGTATTTAAAAATATTTGTGTCGCAAAACATTCTTCATTTGGTCATGTTCAACATATTTGGCCAGTCTCCTACCGCTTAATGCCATGACCGTAGGAACGGAGGATTATTTCTATCACTATCGCCAGGAGGGATAACTTGGGAAACCAAAAAAAAAAAAAGGAATGAACAATGAAGGAATCATAAATCAGCTTCTGCATCTACATCTGAATCATCTGATTGCTTAGACCTCACCTTGATACAAATACATCTCGTCATAATTAAAATCCCCTTAGATTAGATTTTCAGCTTAGTCAAATTGAAGGACAATCAAAGCAAACAATATTCTCTGTTCACAACCTGTAGAATATTGCTCCATCTAGCACCGCTGTGATATTGCAAGGAGCCAAGGTCTTGATCAATATTTCTTCATTAGAAATGCTCAAAATTTCCCTCAATCAAAGGCCACGAGTCCATTGATGCAAACTGGAGTGAGGGTTACTCCAGATCGAAGAACATACTCTAAGCAACGAACCAAATTTTGGGACACTCATCAAAAAATGTTTACTACTGGATAAAACTATATTCATCCAATAATTTGACGAGCGACAAGTAGTTCCAACGTGGAATGCGATGCAAATGTGATGAGAATCTGTTGTAGATGAACATTATTTATTACTCCTAGGGATATTAAAAACCAAAACCCGATGAAAAGTATTATGGGACGAAAGGAGTATTATTTTCATTCAGAAGTATCAAATACATTTCCAGGGTTGAAGATTTTCCGGTCACCGACTAATGTATGCAACGATTACAGTAATATCATCAGGCTTTCCACCATAATGCGCTTCTCCTTTCACCAAGTTACTATTCACTCTATAAGGACTAACACTATATGGATTCATAGATTGCTGGTAAGCAAAGTCGGCTATATTCCAAGCCAAAATTTCCGGCGAAACGTACGTCTCCCGGCCATCCCTAACCCGTCCCTTGATCTCCGTATCGTGCAAATTATCGAACAGCCCGTCCGTCCCGGCCACGATCACGTCGCCGTCTTCCACCTCGCGCACAATCTCCTCCACCAAATCCATCCCGTCGTTTGTTTTCCCCAACTGGTACGGCCTGTTAAACGAATGTTGTTGCACCGGCGACCGGTAAATGATTACCCCGCCCCGGATATGAACAAACCCGCTGTCTCCGATGTTCACCGCCCGCAACTTGCCGGCGCCGCCGTCTAGGGTTACGATGCATGCTGTGGATGACCCTTGGGCTTCGGTTTTCGTGAAAGCCTCATTCAGAACGGATTTTGGGTTCGGGTTACTACTCCGGGTTTGGATAGAATAGACCGCGTGACCGATTAGTTCTCTAGAATATTCGCCGGAGTCGATGCCTCTCTTACTCCAGCCGCCTACACCGTCGGCCAACCCGAAGGTCTGAAATTCCGGCAACAAAAAGTGGGCATCTTGTCCTTGGGGTTTTGATGGGTCATCCTTGGATATATAAAAGGAACCCATTGTCATCTCCAAACCCTTGGTTAGATCAACAACGCTGCCGTTAATATCATCTTCTAGTTCTAAGCCGGAAATCGTTTCCGCCGCCGCCGCCGTCGCCATCTTTCTTCGCCACCTCGCCGACAAACCCAAAGCCGCTTTTAAAATGTTAAGTAGAATCGCTAGTCTTCGACAAAGACGATGAAGCGGAACTTGTAACAAATAATATTGGGGTTTCATACTTTTTTTTAAGGATGATTGAGGGGTGTATATATAAGGAAATAATATTTGGTGTTTTCGATTCATATTTGGATTTGGCTTCCTATCATCACCATGACCTTATCGTAATCGGAACCTTAGAAATTAGAAACTTAGTATACCATGTTAAAGAAACCTAAGTAATTAAAAAATCGGAACGTAACTACAATAAAATCTCAACAACTTCATGACGTTGGGATCCAAACTTTTAGTATCAACTCCGAGAGTTGACAATTTTATCAAAAGAAAGTTACTAATTTTATTTTATTTTTTCATCATCAACAACAGTAACTAATTATCTCCTTTGGTAAATTTAATTAACCAAATTTTATTTGATAGAATGAAACGGGAAAATTCCCAGTCGATTCATCATTAGTATAATCGTCCAAATATCGTTGATCATGAAGTCATTCGAGGACGCATGCAGTATATTTTGAAGAGCACCATCATCTCACTGAAGTGATTGATCCCACAATAACAGTATTTTAACTTGCAAGCGGTTATTTCTTTTACTGTAAGGCGGTGTCAAATAAGTATTAATTGATTTCTTTAAGGAGTTTGTTAATTGAGAGAGAAGAAAAATAATACTCCCTCTGTCCCATAATTATTGTCCAGTTTTACTAAAATGAAAGATTTTATTTTTGGTCAAACTTAACTATATTTTACCTTAAACAACCGGATATACCCCTACATAAGTAATTGTTTAACCACTAAGATTTTATGGATCATGTTTTTTACTAAGGACAAATGTGTAACTTGATCTATAAAAAGTCAAATTGGACAATAATTTTGGGGACAAAATTTTTTGGGCAAAGTGGATAATAATTATGAGACGGAGGGAGTATTAATAGTAGCATTCACACCAATTTGGAAAAATGATTACTATATCCCAACTTGGAGTTACATAAGTTTTTTCTTGGGAAGTGCAATATTTTTTAAGCACCAGATGATCATCATTGTAGTACGTGCTAAATGTTGTTATATTTGTGGCTCCTTGCTTCATTATTATTACAGGTTTAGGCATCCATTTATTACTTTTTGGGTATAGGATCACTTCGAATTCAAGTTTTCATATCGATAAATATTACTCTCTCTTTTCTGAATTATAAGAAAGTAAATTTAAATTCATTTTAGTATGAATTTGTGAGGATTGTTATGAACTCTTCCAAGTTAGTCAATGAGCAAGAGTCGACTTTTACTAATGCGGAAAATGTCTTCAGAATTTTATTTTATTTTATTTTACTTGTTGTGCAGTTCTAAGGAACGACTTCAAGAGTTTTAAATACAACGAAAAAAAAAAGATAAGTGAGATATTCTATTAATTTTTAAATGTTTTTTTTTTTTTTTTTTTTGGTTTTGGGAATGAGAGAGAGACGTCAGCAGAAAAGGCAGATATTACACAGATGAATTGTAAATATATGCAAGAGATAATTACTATATAGAGATGGTATTTTTTTCCCCCGACTCTAAATTAGTGATGGTTACATGTTGACCTTATCTAAGTTTTCGGTACACAAGTTTTTTTTGACATCGGTACACATAAGTAATTCTAACGAGAAAAGAAAGATATGGGCAAAGGAGTAATATACACTTGTGACTTTGTAAGGAGGATTATATGCGATTTGTGTTGTCGCTCCATTACCGGTGTGGAACTATGGAGTTTATTTCAAGGGCTACAACAAAGTTGGACATTGGGTTTCCGACATATTATTGTTGAGGTTGATAATACGAGTGTGGTTAAAATAGTGGAAGGCACCGAAGAGGTCATTGGTGTACACATAGAACTAGTGTTGGCTAATAGGGAACTAATGAGAAGGGAGTATAATATAGTTTTGGATTATGTCTATTGGAAACGAAATTTTGCTGCGAACTCTCTAGGTAGCCTAACTATGACATGTCCAGGAGATTTTGCATGGTCGGAGGAACCACCATCTTGTGTTAAGCCTTGATTACAACATGACATTATTGATATTTTATACCAATATTTTATAATAAACTAAAAACTCCTAAGCGTTAGCTTCCTTCATTGCAGCAAAAAAAAATTGTATTTTTGGTTATCATTATGATATCGTAATAGAAACTATATTTACATAGGAACTTTCCAACGCGTCATATACCCCAGCAGCGTCAACTGCTCAAAAAAGTTTATCTTTTGTTTATTTGGTAAAAAGAATAAAAATTTAAAAATGAGGGTCTTCTTTTATTTTGTCGCCCCTTTTTTTGTTAGGGCAAAATTTACTTTCAGCTAATGCAAAGAGAAAAAAAAAAAGTTCAATCAAAGATGCCAATTAAGCAGCATTACAAAGATGCCAATTATAATATCTTTTCAATGTAAGTTTTCCATATAAATGAAAGCTCAATCAAAGATCTTAACAGGTTTGGAAGCTGACGAACTAGTTAGCAAACTGCAAAAAGCTTAAGACCATAACCAAGTTCTCACTCGCAATTTGTTCGGACTAAAACAAAGTACTAATGCACAAAAAGAAAAGAAAAAATTATAGATCTCGTTCCTGATGTATGGATGGAAAAAAGAAATGATTGACCAATATGTTCAAAAATTTACATTAACCATTTCCGGCACTATTTCTTTTTTACAATGATGGTAGAATTTAGTCCTTGGTGTTTCCTGTTTCTGGAAGAACCACTTCTGTAAATGTGAACCTATTGGCAGCACCAAACATGTCAGCGAGTTGTAAAACTGTTGTTTGACAAGTCGAACCACTTGGGAGAAAAGTATCAGGAAGTTCAGGAGTGCATTCAGGCAGAAATTGTAGCTGTCCAGATGTTCGGGCATACAAGCCGAGGACTGCTCGACAAAATATGAATCTGCAAAATCAAAGGAAACTTTCAACTTCATAAACATTAAGTACTGAGTGCTGCAAAGCTCTGTTGAAAGTATCCAAAGATTCATCTGCTTTTGCTACTAAATGAAGTTTACATTCCGGTGATATCGAGCAGTTATAATTTCCCATTGACGCATTTGCACATCACCGTGCTCAAAAAAAGAAACTAAACTACAAGTAAAGGAAAACAACAGCAGAGTAAGCATGTTGTGGTTACCTCAAAATGAGTCTCCTAAGGAATGGATCACCTAAAATTTGTGCCCAAACAGGATTAAGGTCATCTGACAGAGCTAGTAGTGATCCCCAATGAGTTAATGATGATGAAAGTAGCTCATCGGCCTTGTTGTATACATCCTGAAAGAATATCATCAATTAACCTTAACAACCATTACAAGCGGAAACTTAGAAATGAATGAACAGCTTTGGTGATTGACACACCATGTCAATGTCAGAGCTCGTAAAACCAAGTAGAAGAATGAAAGCCTGCAAAGGAGCTGCAAGAAAAATGGTCAAAGTACTTCCACTTGGCTGGCGAGAGGACTCCGTCACAGGTATGGGCAATGGAGAAGTGGGAGATAGGAGTATGGCAACCGGCTCTCCTTTTTCTGATCCAGATATAACCTGTTCCAATTGTACATATATTATGTTCTAAGTGAAAATTAGTGCAAACCCCTGGATGCAAAAGCGCCAGTTTCTTTTTTCAGAACTCAAATTGTAAGAAGAAAATACAAATGATGCAGCTACTTAGCGTGAAACTGGAAAGTTTTAAAGGCAGGAGCCTGAGCCCTGAAGCATACCTTGAACGCTCTGCTGATGTCACTGTCAATCACGAGGAAGATTGGAGTCCTTGTAAATGGGATTAAATCACAGGGATAAATGCATTTGGAACCTGCGAGATTTAAGTTTTATAGCTCAAGGGTTCACATAGAAGGAAAGATACTGTATTTGACATCTCGAAGGAAAATTGACAGCCTTGACATGAAAGTAAGAATGATAAGCCAGAGATATGAAGAGACTTGCACAGACCGCTCAAGAAGGAATTCAAATACAATAACAAATTCATTTCCCGTCATAAAAATCTTTAGATAATTGCTTATAGCGCTGAGCAGTCAGTGGAACTTTAAATGATTTGCTTTTACTGTAATTACAATTATAGATGAACATCCCTTGTTCGCCATTTATATATCAAGAACTACCGCCTATAAAAGAAAAGCACCAACGAGACAAACAATTTCCAAGGTAAAGTTGCTTATCAAGATAAATGTTCTTTCTATTCTCAAAAGGAAAACTTCAGTCAAAATTTGCAAAAGTTTGAGATAACTGGTGATATTCAAAGGACTTGCTTCAACACCCATAAACCAATCCAGAAACAGATCCCATAGCAGAAAATCACAGATGCACAAAACTAAGGTAAGCTTATTTAACTGAGAACCATGCTTGGTTTTCAAACATAACAAGGACGGCCAAATTACTGTAAATAGATAATAAATAACCTTACAAATGTGAACCAATCAAATAAACCAAAGGAGGAGTTAAAAGTTTTAAACGAGAAATAACGAAAAGACATGATTATTCTAATATCATCCATAAAAGTTACCCAGGTCATCTGATTGGCAAAATACCTCCAGTTCCACGTCCACCAATATTTAATGATCCGGCATGGTTAGTTAAGCAGTGTGCTTCACTTTGAGCAGAGATAGGATTTATGTGATCACTTTCAGAGTTTAACAAGTATGTCGAGGCAGTTCCAGAGTGCGTAAAATTAGACTGATGACCCTGGAAGCTACTTTCATTACTCACTATTGTCGTTCCTGTTTGGAGTGGAGATGACATATTCTGTCCACTGATTCCTAACGCAAATCAGAACTACAGAGGTTTAAAGAGAATCCTGATGACCTCTAATAAAGAAAAAATTAAAAAAGAAATAAAAGAAAGCAGCAAACACGGATGAGACATAATCTAACCTTTATCAGCTGAAGCCGAAAGGTATATCAAGAGAATACCGTCAGGTTGAAGCTCCTCGCACATTGTGGATAACACCTGTATGCCGTAACTTTAGACATGGATGAAAAACTAATGCAGAATATGACTTTTTCCAAGAATCACATGACCTCACACTAGTTATATTCACACATTAGCAATGCCAAAGTTTGCAGTAATAATACGATTACAATCCTAAGGGTGCTCATAACTGAACTCCGACAAAACTCCAGCAAGTCCGGCAATCTGTAATAATTTAATCTTTTCCAAGCTCTGCTCTCAAAGATATCCAACTCATGCAACATTTTTTAAGTCAGACAAAATTTCATCTATATGCCACCTTGAACTTACCTGCGACATTGAAGTACTAGACAGGCCTGTTGTTGACCAATGGGTGGGTATCTTAACCGTGAGATTAATAAAACCTTATTGGTAATATCTTCAACTTAAGTCCCACCGAACCCTTTCAATTCCTATACGATAAAAAGGAGAGTAATCTACGACATGACCCATTTCTTAAGTGCTTACCCATGGATATTGGCATGAAGCAGATTATCCATCGGCAAATCTCGAGACTTTTAACAAGTTTACCAATCAAAAACCATAATCATAGAGAGAGGCTAGGAAAAAAGAACTCACAGCAACTAAATGTGTAACAGATGGTCGATATAAGATAGCTTTACGTGGATTGGGAGGCAAAGTAGGATCAATCATATCCTGGGAAGAGTTCATGCGACTAGGCCCTAGAGCCCCATTCTGAGCAGTTCCGGAAGGAGCAGTACTCCTCTGGTAGAAAGAACCACTGGGCTCCCACTCCAGGCATTGTAGCATTCGGAAAGTGTCAAGAGTGAGTTCTGAGAATTTCACCTGAAGTACAAAGGGAAACGAACAAACATCAAGAGAAAGTCAAATAAAGTAGGAAAAACCACAAACTGAAACTAAGTAGTTCCAAAAAAAAGCAACCAAAGTTTATCAATGCGATGACAAACATTATTATTGTTATCCAAGAAAACAGGCACTGACCTCGTGAGGGTGGTAGCTACACAACAAAGCATCTCGTAGCTTCAGCTTTCTCTTTGCCTGTATGGCATTTGGCATAGAATCTGGATGAAGATCCAGCACTACACTATATCTTACCGGCCTCAAATTCATGAAACTTGTGTCGGCTTTAAGAAATTTAACTATTTCTTGAACCACCAGCTTCCACTCTTTGAAATCAGTTTCCTGAAAATAGGAATGAAACAATTCAGTTATTGATAAGGAGGGAGGAGAAAAGAATACAGTGTATGAAGAATGCATCACATATAGTTATCTGAAATCTCTCATAACTCCTAATCTCACAATGACACCCCCATCTTGTATCATGATTGCACCGCAAATTTTGTGAGAACAAATACAAGAGTTGCATATTTGGCTATCTGCAAGTAAACTATATCTTCTCTTCAGCTAATGCTTTAATTCATTTAGGAGTAATCTTGGCTCAAATCAGAAAGGAACAACTGCTTTTCCATGAACTCCGTATGAAACCTTTTCACAATAAACTTAGAACTACATAAATCTTCTCTGTAAAACAAGCAGGATAGTGCATCTATGAATAACATTAAGAAATTTTTTTTAGCTAAGTAAAGAATCCTAACAAGGGCCATCAGTATTAGATATTTATACCTAACAGGTCACTTGTCAAGAAAAGTCCTAAACAGAAAAAGTGAATGGATTTTGAGTGTCGCAAAAGGAGAATATGACACCTAAGTGTGGAGGAAACTTAACCTGGAATGTTCTCTTGCACTCATCAAGAAGCATTTTGAGTTGATTTACCAACTGATACACCACTTCTCGACGATTTAACACCAAACAAATCGTCAAAAACCGAGCCAGAAATCTTAACTGCTTGAAAGCGATATTAATGTCTTGAAACATCCCATCCTTGAAATACTCCCTTGTTAATATTGCCTCGTAGAATATATAAGATTCTGATAGGTAACTAGCCTCGCTTGTTTTCATATACTGCCCAAAATAAAGCTGGCCAATTCGAGAAGCAATATCGCCAATCTCCCATCTTTTCAAACCTGCTTCCACCAGTTTCTGACGGTTCTCTTGTTGAAATTTCCACAGTTGTGTATAAATCTTAAAAACTTTAGAAAAGTACGAATCGTATCTGGTACAAATCATGAAAAAACCATTCAGTTAGAAACAAAATCTAGCATACCCCAATTTCATACACCATTAACTGGACAACATCAATGATAATGTAAATAAATGTCCATACATGAACCAGAAAACTAGTAATACAGAGAGTACAAACAATCCACTTAAATGGAATTACAAAATCATTATCATGGTCCAGGTTTAATTCAAGTTCAAATAAATTGACATCTAAAACAGGACTCTGAAAAATAAAAAGCTTTAATGGAACACCATGAAACTTAATTTCCCCAAGAACCCATTACGCCAAATTACAAATACTTTTTCCTCCTCCTTAAACTGATTCAATCACATTTCCAAAACCCCATGATCCCTAGTTGCTTAGAAACACTACACTAATCCATCAGTCAAACTTAATTATTCTGAATTTCTTCTCAGCCAAACTAAACCCACCAAAGAATCGGTAACCCATATCATAAAAAATGGAAAGAAGAATAGAAAAACTAAATGAAACTCCAATTTACCTATTACGTTGGTAGTAGGGTAAATCTCTGATCTTGGAGAACTTCTTATCAGCCTTTGCTACCAGTGACCAGTAAACTTCACTGACCGGAAGATTACTAATGTTGCTATGGCTGTTAATGTTATTGTTAGTGCTATTGCTACTGTAGAGATGAGGAAGCTGTTGTTGGGACATCTTTCATGGATTTAGTTCGATATAATTCAATTGGGATTTTCTTCAAAAAGATGTTGAAACTGTTCTTTTGGTTTTGAACGAGAGTATCAAACTACGAAATCAAAGAGTAAAGGACCTGATCAGGTTTTATAGTAGCTTCCAGTTTAATCCAACATTACTACATATGTGTTGCTTAAACCCCTTAGGTTTCATATTTTCCAAACGATGCGCATTGAGTTTTTTGCAATATATTTCCCTTTTACTAGAATGGACAAAACTATTTCTGGTTGGCAAGAATAGATAAAATACGTCTATCAGATTACGAAATCCCAAAGTAAGGTACAATAGACTACGTGCCTTTGTCCTTGACATCGGATAAGACTTTCGGATTTCTGAAATGCGACTTCTTAATTTCAATTAAACTCTCGAATTTCAAAAATTAGATAAATTTAGGGAGAATTATTAATAAAGGCGCCGAAAAGATGATTATCTATAGTACTTAATTAAAGCAGCAAACAAAAAGGACATGTGTCAGTATTACAATGAAAATTTTTCAGTCAAAAGTCATTTTCAGTACAAAATCATTTTTGACACGTAGCACTCTAAATAATCAAAAAAAAAAGATAGAATAAATAAATACATAAATCCCTTAATTATAGCTACATAAAAATATCTTAATTATAGATATATACTAATCCTTTAAAACAACAATATTTAGTTGATAAAATCAAATGTAAGGAAATCCCCTTAAATCAAGTGAAACACCAGTAATGTCTTCCCAATCCCCAATTTTAAAGAATCTCTTTCATTCCCCTCCTCTCTCACACTCGGGCCTTTAAATCAATTACTTAAAATTTAACATCAATTATCAATCCATCTCTTTCTACAACAGAGAAAAAATAAGTTGTCATGAAAGAAATTTGATTTTTTAAGGATAATTTTTTTTTTATTCTTCTGTTGCAGATATTGGTTTATGATTTATGTAAACCCAGACATAAGTTAACTGTTATAAATTAAATATTGTAAATTTGGGCATAAATTTATGTGTAATAGCTCACTATCTGTCTTTTCAATCGATTTTTTATTCTTCTAATTTTTTTTTTATTTTTTTAAGAATGATTAGTATTTTTTATTTAATCAATTTAAAAATACAAGCGACACCCCGGACATTCGCCCAGGGCAAGCATCTAGTTATTCTTAAGGGCATTACCATTTTTTTATTATAAAAAAATTTTAATGTTTCAAATTACTTGTTTATCCTTTACCCAGCTAGTAGTAATCATCTTTTATTCCTTTTTCTTTCTATAAAACTAGGCTCTCTAATCAGTTTGTTTTAAAAAAAATAAACCCCCACCTCAGTAATAAAAAATACCCAGTAAACTCCACCTAAATATAGGTAAAACCCACACTTACAAATCCTTTGGTGGGAATTGAACCCGAGTCTAGTACTAGAAAGCACAACATCCTAATCACTAGACTGTTATTCAATTCCCGACTCTCTAATCAGTTAGTTCTAGCTATGATTGGAATCCTCATTCTTCATTTGCTGAAAAATTGTTGTAGCATCATAAAGCGCATGTTGGATTTTGTGCGGCATAACACAAAATTAATAATGAAAGGGAAATATAGGCCATAAGTTTGGATTTTCTTACGGTTGCAAATTCCTAATAGAATGGAAATCGTGGTTTTCATTGGGGTTCATGTTTTCCACTATTAAAACTCAAGAAATTAAGACAGTGAAAGGTAATCTGAAAGGAGATACCAACAAATTAAAAGACCATGGGCCACTCAGATTGATTGGTTTAATTTAATTATTTAGACTAATACTTTGAATTGAGAGGAGAAAAAGAATAGAATTATCGCCCTGAGACCGAGTAATTTTTTTGTTTTTTTCTTTTGTTTCTTTTTGTTGAGAGAGAGTCTGATTAGTGTTCACTGGAGAAGAAGAATGGGTTAAATAAATACTAGATGGTACCCGCACGTGTGCGGGATAGATAAATTATGTATAAAATCAAATATAATAAAAATCAAAGAAATATTTTATATTTTAGTAAATTGATATATAATATAAAAACACTAAGTTAAATAATGTTACATTAAAATTAATTTTTATGCGCTACTTGTTTACAGAAGAAAATAAATAGATCCATATATTAATCTACGTGTTAAATATATTTTATTTTCGTGAATCATCAACATATATTTCGCCATATTGTCCCAAAGAAAACATCAAACATTGAAATCATTAATTAAGATTGGCAAAGAAACTCACCGTGATGTGCATTCGAAAATTCTTGTTTCAGAAAATATTTGCCCATAATTTCCAAAAATTAGAAGCGAAAAACTTTTGACACAAAAAAATAATGATTATTAAAAAAAAAACATAAATCCTAAAAAAAAAAGAGAAGAAAAAGAAGAAAAGATTCCGGTATAAATTGGGATTGCAACCTAGTTGAGTTTTATAAGCACACTTTATATATACATAATAATTTTATTCACATGATTAATGCGATTGGAGTGATTATAGGCATACGTTTATATTTGATTTTGTTAAAATAAAGTAAATGGATATTCCTGTATGCAATTATGACTGATGATATATCTCTAAAAAATATTATCTACAATTTTTTTAATTATTTCAAATTTTAAAATAATATTAATATCGTTTAATGATCAAACCAATATGTAATGGTATTATTCAATCTAGTCGGAAAATTTTTCAAATCAATCAGTTTTAATGTTGAATTAAAGAATCACTGATTATTTTGTAGTTATTATTTTTGAATTTCAAAAAAGCATTAATACTGTTTAATGATCAAACCAATATTAATGGTATTTTCAAGCCAATCAGAAAATTTTTTCAAATCAATCAGCTTTAATGTTGAATTAAAGAATCATTGCTGATTTTGTATTTATTATTTTTGAATTTTAAATAATCATTAATATTGTTTGATGATTAAATCAAGACGTAATATTATTATTCAAGCCAATCGGATAATCTTTTTTAAATCAATCTTATTTAATGTTGAGATTTTAAAAATTTTTCGTTTTCTTTTTCATTTTAGAGAATGTAAAATAGAAAGTTTACCACACAATATATTGATATACTTTAATTAAGAATTGATAACAATTTATTAACTGGAAATTTAAAAGACTGTTAGTGTAATTATTGTAAATATTTTTTGTGACAACCTATAAGGAAATGACACATAGGATTTTGTCCTATGTGACAAAGGGGGAAGAAGTTTGATTTCCTCTCTCTGGTTTCTCTCTTAGTACAATACTATAGATGTGGTAATAGGAAGGTTAAAATAGTCTTTAAGTTGTTAGAAAACTTAAGTTGTATATATCTAATTTGTAAAAGTCATAAAAGTTAGAGATGTCCTCAATAATAATATTGATCTTTGTGATGCCCTTTTTAAAAATTTTCCCTTATCTAATTTGTAAAAGTCATAAAAGTTAGAGATACCCTTAATAATAATATTGATCTTTGTGATACCCTTTTTAAAAAATTTTCCATAGATTTATATCCGTCCACAAAAAAAAAAAGAAAAATATTTCGACTGTCCACATATAATTTAATTAAAAAAAATTCATAATCGCCTGTGGGGTTCATGTTTTATAGTTTCTTTAAGAAGTAGACTGAAAAAAATTTAAAAAAAAACACCATTAGGTTTCGTCATCACTTCTAAAATCCTCTATCATTTGGTAATACTACCAATACTATCGACAAGGGAATCGCGACATGCTTGACATCTCTCATGACCGGAAGTTTTATGTCGCGTGCTAATTAACAAGTTAAAATTGGGGTGTAAAAATATTGAGACATATATAATTATAATTTAATCCGTTTAACTTTTCATTGGTGACTTAAAAGAACTATGGTTATAAGATAGTTATAATGGTATATGATGAAAGCACCATAGAATTTTGACCAAACCTGATAGGGCTTTTTTGTAATTTACTATTTTTACTCTTCTTCTTCTTTTTTTTTTTTTTTTTTTGGAAACATAGTACTTTTACTTACTCAATATATAAGATAGGCAAAATCATATTTGAGTTTACTTAATATTTCTGGAATTAAATAAATCCTCTAGTGACAGAGAAAGTTATCTCAAAAGCTCTATGTTGTATCTTTAATCTTTTAAATACGAAACCAGACTAAAGTAAGACTCTGCTTGATAAACTCATTCAATACTTAGATTTAATTGATTAAGTGGTTAACTGATTGCCAGTGTGTTGATAACGTGATCTCAAAGTAATTTAATTTATTAAAAACTTAACAAATTAAGTATATTTTTTAACTTCGTTTGATAACTAAAAGTAGGATGTCTTTATAAATTAAGTATGTCTAATATGCAAATACAAATGTGAGTTTTTAAAATAAGTGATAGGCGTATTATTTACTATTACTTACTACTAAATTGAGAACATTTTTTCCTAATTACTTGATTTTATGTTTATATTTTTGATGTTGTATCTTTTATTCATTTTTATTAATCTTGGCATGTATTTTCAAATTAAAAAATTATATAAATCATTTTTTATTATTTAATATATAGGTATAATTTTTAATATAAAAATTAAAAAACGAATAAAGTCCGTGATAATTATATATTTACCATAAGGGTATGCTATTATTTTTAAAATAATTACATATTTAGAATACATAAATTCATAACAATAATATTGTTTTTATTTTCATAGTTTCATACATATCATCTCTTTTAGGAAAAAAATTATAAGTTAATATCTTAAACATTTTTTATTTAAGTCGTCAGATTTTGTTTGTTTTTTTTCCATCAAGCAACACAAATTTCACTACAACAAAAATAAACTATTAATACCTTTATAGTGGGACACTTTTTCTAAAATGTGTCTCATTATATGTGTATTAGGACATTTGCTAAAAAGTATCTTATTAAAAATGAAAAAGTGTATGCATATTATGAAACACTATCATAAGTGTACTATGTGGGCTTGCTTATGAACTATTACCCTACTTAATGGGTCACTTTAGATTGTCTTAATAAGTGACAATCTAATAATACACTTTCAAATGTTTTATGACTTATTGTGACTCGACTATAGGAGACACTATTTAGTAGTGTCTCACGCAATGTGAATCACATGTGTCCTATTACACCACTTATTGAGACACAAAAAAATGTCTAAACTACTCATTTTTGTTGTAGTGTTTAATTAGTTCAGTGTTTATGATTCAGTTTTCAAACTTCAAGTTTCAGATGTAATTAAGTATTATGAAACATGGCCCAAGTAATTGATTATAATGTAACTTAGTTGTTATTGTGATTCCAATTTTACATATCCTCTACCCATTTTATGTGAGTTGTCTCATTCGATCATCCATTCAATAAATTAGATTTTTTTTGACAGTTTGATTAGTATTTTTTGTTTTGGGTTGATATCAAAAACACCTTTGAAATTTAGCTTATTATCTAAAATACCCTTATTGTTTAAGAAAATATAAAAAAACCTCTAAATTGGCAAGTCAATTATCAAAAGGTACTCCTTTGACTGAAATTTGATGTATGCGCACGAATTTAGTCAAAAAAGAGAAGTGTCGAAAAGACTTTTGCAACCCATAAAAACCATCCTTAAATTATATTCTTTTTCAAACTCTGATAAAATTAAAAATCCATTTCTAAATCCAAAATTCACCTTTCAAGGACTTGTAAAAAGCTAAATTTTGTCTTTAGAAGTTGATATTTGATTTTAATTTGAGTTTGTAAAAAAATTTCTGAAGAGTTTATAGGGATACACACGTTTTTTGGCAATTTATCGACTGAATTCATTTGCAAACATTAGTTTTCAGTTGCGGGAGGATCATTTTGATAATTGACTTGCTGATTTAAAGATTTTTTATTTTGATTTTTTTAAATAGTAAGAGTGTCTTTAGATAAATAGTTAAACCCTGGGCAGTGTTCACTTTTTTTTTTTGGTTGAAATTTGATTAATATCATTTTTATTGATGCTTATATCTTCTTAAATTCTTAATAAAAGTTAAATAATTCGAACAAAAATGATTTCTTTATGAGATAGAGATTATATGTATATGTCATGTACCGGAATATGAAATTAGAAGAAGATAATAAAACAAAAAGAGATAAATTTCGATGGAAAAAAACAGAAATCAAGAGACCATAGTTGGAGACTTGAAATGATGGAGGCTATTTTTGATTGGAGAATTTTTAGATCACCAATTCGCCATCATCAACCATCACAAATACAACCTTCTTGCCTAGTCCCTTCGTCCATCACTTCAATGCTACTTTTAAGTTTTGATAACAATGAGAAAATGTCGTTAACAGAATAGGAAGAAGACGAAGAAGAAGAAGGGGAAAATAAAAAAAAACTTTAAAAAATTTCCAAAGTCTTCAACGACCCACGTTTTGACTTTTCAAAACGACAAAACGTTACAGAACAAACACCATCATCAGTGCCCCTCGGCATCTATTTTTTCTCGTTCACAACCCACCAAAGAAAAAAGAAACTATTTTTTTTTTTGAGTTTTGTCATCTGGGCTTTCTTCGAAACTTTGATTCCTAGACTTCCAAGAAAAACCCAGTAAATTGAGGTACATATTTGGTCACTTTTTTTTTTTTTTTTAGCATTTGTGTTGGTTGAATTCTTTCAGTTCTTAGAGTTATTACACTCCTATTGAATTCATTCCTTTTGATTGTATCGTTTGTTTGTTCGTTTTGGAGCTTCAATTCTGTATTGAAATTCTTTTTCTGTTTTTAACCATGGTTGATGTTTATGTTGGTTTTGGTTTGTTTCCATTCAAGATAAAGGTTGCAACTTTTTGTTTTGGTGGGTTGGGATACTCACTGCCTTTTCTTTTTCCCCATTTTATTTAGTCTTTGGTTCTTGAACGTCTTTGACTTCAAATTCTTTATTTCTTGGGTTTTTCCCCACTGTTATTCTGTGTTATATTCTGTCTTCCTGGTTCCCACGTCTTCTCCAATTGTTGATATGGGTTATTCAGTATAAGTGGCTATGCTTGTTGATTTGCTCTTCATGGAATTTTAAAGTTAAAAACCTGTACTGATTCCTGATATGGGTTTTACAGTTTTGCATCATGCAATTTAGTGAGATGTTTCTTGTTGTTCACTTCTTTAAATTGATATGATTCTTTTGATTTGTTTTATATACTTTGAAACTCCAGAGAATTAAATTCTATTTGTTGTAGTTTTGTTTCGGTTGTCTGCTATAATAGATATTAGCATGGTTCATTTGATATGCCCGTTATAAGTGTATGTGATTCCCTTCGATATACGTAGTCATTAATTATTCTTGTCTGGATTCAGTTATGCCTGGAAGAACATTAATATGACCAAGCTCAACCCGATTTTCACTATTTCAGAAGATTATTACTGATCACTCAAATGAGTTGTTGTTTGAGCAATTATTGTAGTATTCTGTCGTAGAATTCGTTCAACCCCTGAAGTAGTTGTTGGTAGACTAAGAAGTAAGGTGGGAGGTTTAGTTTGTCTGTGTCAAGCAACAGAGGGGATTGACATCTTACTTATCATATATACTTTTCACTTATCATTTTTATTTTGTGTAACTGACTACAATGATGCATTGAATGATTTTCTGATGTTTGTGCTTATCTTGTTTGGTGGTAGGAGTTGTTTTGGGGAGGTTGAGATTGAGTAACTGTATGTTTTTCTGAAGAGATGGAAAGAGGGGTTCCTGATGATGATTAAACACAATGATTGGGTTGCTTTTGAATGTCATATTCTTGAAAACCATATTTAAAAGATTTTATGATATCTATGGGTGATGTATCCATGAACGGAAGCCTAGAACCTCACCCTCCGCTTGCAGCACAGAGCTCTGATTTAGCAAGGTATGGCTCAGCCTCAGAAACTGTTTAAGGAATCTTTACACTTATCAGCATATTATTTGAGCCAGCATCTATGTTTACAGGTTGGAAATGGAAACTAATTCTGGACCGAAGAAACTTAAGGGAATTGACAGTATTGAGGACCAAGAAGCTGTGGTATTGCAACTTCTGAACTTTGTGATGAATCTGTATATGAGGACTTTCATTTTTCATTTCTCTGACTATGCTTGTTGGTAGGAACTTTTTTCACGAGTTAGGAGTAAAGAGAATGAGATTATGAATCTCCGTGAGCAAATTGCTCTTGCCAGTATCAAGGTATTTCATGTTGGTGAATTGGCTTATTTTACATTTGGCATGTTTCTACCGAGCATGGCTATTAACTTTCTCCTTCTTGGTCAGGAATCTCAGCTGTTGAATGACAAACATTCACTGGAACGGAAATTTTCGGAGCTTAGACTGGTTGTTTTATCTTCCCAAGTTTTCTGGTTTACTTTTATCTAGTTGTTATTCTCTCTTAAGGATCAATGATTTAACTATGTTGTTGACAGGCCCTTGATGAGAAGCAGAATGAAGCCATAACTTCTGCCTCAAATGAATTGGCTAGGCGAAAAGGTGATCTTGAAGAACATTTGAGATTGATTAATGAGTTAAAGGTAGATTCCTTTTCTTTCTAATTTTGCAATTTCAGATCTGATATTGTGAAAAATGAACTGTTTTACAAAGACAGGACTTTTCTTTCTTCAGTTCAAGAGCTATATGAACCATGCTAATCCATCTTTAAATAGTTTAACACTTGAATCTTTCTTTGAGTATGATTAATCTGTCACGTAGGCTTCAACATCCCTATGATCTTGGTTTATCATAAGATTAGAAACAAATGTGTGGTGTATTAGAATTTTGGTTTACTAGGTCTATTGGCTGAGAACAAAATGTTTGTGATTTCTTCTTGGCTGCTACAGTTACCATAATTGAATCCTATTGAGTTTAAATAGAGAATGATGGGAGATTATGTTATCCACTGTTATAACTGGGGACTGTGGGTGTTTCTAGAATCTTATTCTTGTTATATTTTGTCTTGTCTTCTAATAAATGTGGATTTTGGGCTGGTGAATGGCCAGTTTTCTTGAACTTTACCAAAAAAGTTTCTGTTTCTCTTGAAAGTTATGAATTGTCGTTGAAAACTTGAAGGAGAGTTGAAATCTCTGTAAGTCCTTCTACTTGAGAGAGAACATTCAAGTGTGTTGATCAGACCTTGAGGGATGGTTTTAGTACTTCTGATTACATGGGTAGTGAGTGTGGTACAAAAATTATCTTTCTATTCATGTGGATATGCTTCCTTCCAGGGACTGCGAGCTGATGTTATGTTCTAAAGATAAAATTAAGCATCTACTTATTGAGTTATAAAACATTGAGTTTGCTTCAATGAAAGAACTCTGCAACTTCCTCAAATGCTTGTTTGTATACTTTAACTGGGGTAGCAATGGTAATTTTGGTTATAGGAACAAGCATGATAGATCGTGTAACGTTTGATGTTCCATTTGCTCCTTTGTAATTGGATGCTTTATTCATTCCCTCTTTGTTTCTATGCTTATGCGTTTATGGTTAACGTGCCATTTAGATTGCAGAAGATGAAAGATACATTTTCATGTCATCTCTACTAGGATTATTGGCTGAATATGGCGTTTGGCCCCGTGTTACTAATGCATCTGCTCTTACAAACAGCATAAAGGTTAGCATCCAAATAACTTGTCTCTCCCGATATTATTCTGAAATACGAATACCTTTTTTATTATCCCAGTTTTGTTTTGAAATGATGTTGAAATATGCTTGTCTATGGGCTGTGATGCAGACTTGTATTCTTGTAACAGATCCTTCCGACACTGAAGGAGAACTTCAATTTTACTTTTGTGTGGATATGCCCTTTGTGAACCATCTTGCTTTTATATTCTAATTTATGCATTTTAAAATCCCGTTGTTTCTTTGGAACTAGCAGTTTTCCTAAAACTGTCTATTCAACTGTATAACTTTACCCTGTTGCTACTCTTTAGAACATGTACTTTGTTTACTGGCGATAATAGAAAGAGATTCCAGAAGTCTGTTTAGTCTGATGTACTTTTTTGGAATTTTGCAGCATTTACATGATCAGTTGCAGATGAAGATTAAAAATTTACATGTAAGATATTGTTTATGATAATTAATTGAATTTCAGTTTGATGACCGTGTGACATTTCAGTTTGTTCTAATTTGTGCTGTAAAATTTTAATTAACTTTCATACTTGTTACTTTACTTGAATAAATACTGGGACCTAGGTAGCTTACAGAATTTTTACACACCAGTACACTTACATTTCATTGCTGCCATCTGTCTTTAATAGTCTTTGTCATACATGGTCGGAAGCACATTTTACAGTTCTCTTCTATCCTTTTGGTAGTATTAATGATCTGTACTTTTGATTTTCACTTAATATGAACCTATGCTAGTTTGCACATTTCCCACTTCTGAGTCAGAAGTCTGGTATATTAATTTTCAAAAGTTCATTTTTTTTTTTCAGCACCAAGTTCCACTTAATATGAACCTATGCTAGTTTGCACATCTCCCTTAAAAAAGATATTTGACAACAAATCTTTTCGGGACAGGATAGAGTTGAAGAGCTAAATGCAATGGCTGGAAATCAGACCGGAAATGGATCTCATAGAATCGAGAACCACGGTCATGGTCACGTTGGTCAACTTCCAAATAATTCCATGGTATTTTGTCTTTAAATTTCAGATTTTATTGCCTGGCTCATGAAAATATTTTGCTTACTTTGTGCTGTATTTAGGCCTTTTATTCTTATACAGCATGCTACTTTTCATTTCCGTAATAGCACTTACTTGGTACTTTGCCTGTCCTTTGAATGAAGGGTGTGGGTGGATCTTCGGTTTCAAACCACTACGGGAATGGACATTATACAGGTGCAGCTGATTTGCCACAATATATGCGAGCTAATGATGGCCAACAAACAGGAAGCTTGATGCTCGATCGTGAAACATATCAGTCCCCAGATATTTTTAATCATCCCAAGCCAGCATCTAATAATGATAGGTAAGTCTGGATATGACATTTCGATCAGACTAATAATTTATTATTAAGGCTATCTCTGAAATCTAATAATACTAATAATTTATTATTAAGGCTATTTCTGAAATCTTCCTGCGTCACGGTTTCTCGTGCTCTTTGATCTAACAGACTAGTTACTTATCCAGAGTTTATAGTCCCATTTTTTTGCCAAAATGACAAATCATTTGTTTGAAGATTTTTGATAACTTTTAGAAAATGGTGTCACAGATTATTTTTTGAAAGAGTTCTGATACTCTCAATGAATTTTTTTAATGAATCCAACACAACCCATGTATAGTGCCAACATGACTCCTCCACATCACTTTCCTGTCTCCCTTTAATTCTTTTATTTTATTTTTTTCCTTTTTCTTTTAATAATTATTATAAAACTTTCTTACCCTTCTTCATATAACTCAGAAAAGCTATCTTTGCTGTTAATTCTTCCTTCTTGCCCTGACTCGGCCACCCACTCCGAAAGCCCATCGTCAATTGCTTTAGGTAATGTCCAGCTCCTTCGACTCGGCTATGACATCCACTTCGCCCAAACCCCTAGGTCACCGGTCGGAAAAAGTGCTAGCGTTTGGATCCACAAAGAGGCACTATCATGAATTCGAATCGAGGGCGGGTCAGGATAAGTTGTAGACAGTTAAAACTCAGACGAAAAATTTGAGTTTCATCATGGTGGAACTTTAATGGAAAAGAAATGTTTTGCTTTTTCCACAGCTAAATCGTAGTTTCAGATTTATTCATCTCTGTTCTTCCTTGACGATTAATACTTTTGAATTGATTCAATTGAATGGTCATTGTTTAGTTGAGTTTGCGATTGGTAAATTTAATATTCATCTCTGATTTGTTTAGACGTAAGATAGATCTTATTTGGATTGGGAAGAAGGTCCGTTCAACAGTTCAACAGCCAGATCGGATTCGTTAAGCGTCCGTTCAAAAACTTTCGTTGAGACAAACATTTTCCTTTTTGAAAATAGTATTGAAGATGTTATTTTGCCAAAAATATTGTGACTGCATACCTACCTAAAAGAGAAAAATCCGTAATTCTCTCTTTCAAAAGTGGATATTTTTATGCATGTCAGGTTTCTCTCAGTATGCAAATGATGTGATGTAGGATTGTGTAAAAGAAAAAGTTAGTAGTGACTAAACAGTTTAATTGTAATACAACATGTTAGCCCACATCCCACTATACTTATGGATCATATGTTGTGTTGTGCTCTTGGGTCATAATAATTGTAATGAATGTGTAACTAACTTATAGAACATCTCCTGCTCATAGTGGATTGAGCAGAAAACAATGTACATTATGAATTGTAAAAAGTGTCATAAATTAAAAAAAAAAAAGAGGATCATAAATTGAAGTGTAAAACATCCTCTGAACATAGGCATTTGAGCAGAAAAAAATGTAGAATATATTTTGTTGATTAAGAATCATTGAAGGAAGAATTATTTCATTGCATTTCCTTTTATTTGCCTTCTCTGAGTTTTAGTCTTTGATCAAGTTGTCTTATTGATCTTTGCTGTCTTATGATATTTTTTACCTCTTTCCTCTTAAGCAACATTTTTTTCTTTAAATATTTTTTAGAATTTTTTTTTATTATTTGTAAGAGTGACTTGGCAAATGTTCGATTCCTGCTTTACTCAGCTATAGTTGTTATTTTGATGCATTTGGCTGAGTGCGTATCAGTAGGTGGCTCATTTAGTGAGAGTAACGTCTGATTGTTCTGCTTTAATACTTTAGGTACTTTTTCATTTTCTTTTTTGCGATCAAGGCTTCGCCCACGTTTCTTTTTCGTTCTGTTTTTCACAGTATCCAATTGATAAAAATAATTCTTTCTGACCAACAAAGTTGCAGGGGTTTTGCAGGTTCGGAGGTAGATGATATATTTGATAGAAGTGGTATAAAAATGGGATCAGAAGAGATGGTTAATGATCAGTTCTACCATTCCCATCAAAGCAATGATAGAACTGGTTCATTAACATCTGAAGGTAATACAGTTTCTAGTTTATTCGAAGACCGAAACCAAAAGCTAACGTTTTTTTCCCCAATATGGTTCACTTATTGCCTTCGTTCTCTTTCAATACACGTGTTTGTAGCCAAGTTCGTGTAATCTTGCAAATCTAATTTTTATTTAATTTTATTTATTATACTGTTCCAGGAGAGGGTCCTGGGATAGAGAACTTTCAAATTATTGGCGAGGCTAAACCTGGAGGGAAACTTTTAGGCTGCGGATTTTGTGTGCGTGGAACTTCTCTTTGTATGTTCCAGGTAAAAATTCAAAGGAAGGGTGTTTCCATATGTCAAACGTTTGGGTAGTCCATTTTGTTTAACAGTATCAAATCTTTTTCCTCTTTACCAGTGGGTTCGTCATTATCCAGATGGTACAAGGCAGTATATTGAAGGTAGTATTCTTCATTTCAACTTCTCCTCGAGTATTCATAGTATTATGAGCTTTTGCAGTAATACTTTCAGAGCTACTTAATGCCTAGCATTCTGAAAAAGAATTTTTTGGTTTTTTTTATTTGTTTTTTTGTTTTGTTTTTTTTTTTTTTGTTTGGCCTCATATCAGGAGCCACCAATCCAGAATATGTCGTTACTGCCGATGACGTTGATAAGGTTATAGCTGTCGAGTGCATACCCATGGATGACCATGGACGCCAGGTAATGCACGAACTTTATTTCTACCACGCTACATTTCATTATTCTGTTTCTTAGGAAATAATAACTGGCATAGGCACCTCAGTTCCTGAACTAATAGAAGCTATAATCTCTTTGGTTGCAATTATTGTTCATGAAGTGTATCTGGTTGATAACTAGTGTCATACTATCCGGAAAATAATTTTGCCTGTCAACATCTTTATTTCTTACCTGCTATACATACTGCCTGGGTAATTCTGTTCGTTTCTTTTAATTGATCTGATTTTGGTTTGGGAATGTAAATCGAATCTTCTTTTATCCTGAAAAGTGAAGTTTGAACCTATAGTATCGTATGCACAAAATTGTGAAAGCGAACCAATTTAATTTGTTGCAGTGTTATTTATCTGCCACAATATTGGAATGCAGTCTTCTTTTGTATCTTTTGTACACAAGATGTCTCACCTAATTCGACAGTTGCAGTAATTCAGCCACTACTAGTCATAATATTCGTTATAACTTGTGAAAATTCCATTTTACTCCGCTACCTCCATAACGATGGACCGATGCAGATAAAGCCAACGTAATTGACATTCTATAAAAGATGTTCTGTTCAAAGCCCAAGCAAGTTGATTAATATTCCCGGCTTAGTTTTTCCAAATAGTTGGGATGCTGTATCTTCACCGTTTTTTCAACTGTTATATTATTTTGAGCCCTGTGACATCATTACCATGCCATGAAAAAGAAACATGCAGCGCAATTTAGAGCCACATGTTGACGCCCCCAAACCTTTTGGTTTTACTCCCCAGATGTTTGGCAGGAGGCCTGTAGTTAATGAATCTGATGGGGTATCCTAACCCCAGCCATTTTACTGCCCGTCTTGAATAGAGGGTCCGTGATTAGTTCTTTGTCTCTCTATCAAATTGAAAGCAAGCATATCTAAATTCCTTTCAGCAGGCCAATGCCATGAGTCATCACTAGGTTTTGCTATCCCCTGCACCCTCTTCTGATAGTGGGATAGATTACTCGACAATTGTAAACGCTCGTTCTTAAATCATGACCAATCATTTGGGAATTTAACTGCCTGAAACTTTTTGCCTCTTAACACGATGGTATTCTGCATTTCATCCAATAGGATTATTCATCTGGGAGATATACCTAGTATTTGTTTTGATTTACTCCCAGATTGATGTCTTCCAGTTCCAAAAACCTCTTCTTTAAGTGTGAAACATAGGACTCTAGCTCTCTTTTGCACTGTTATTAATCCGTTGGTGCTTTGGAATTCATTCCATTAATTTTTTGGTTCTTATAACTCCTTAGGTAGTTTAAAAGCATCTGGATGAGTAAAAGTGGATACCACTAATGACACTTGTGATTGGTTCTGAATTCCGTTTCCCTCATAACTGATAGTTTTGGTTTCAAAACCACAGGTTCCTGGTTCCTCGATAGATAGAATTGGTACCAAAGAACCTAATGGATAATATTTTTGGTGGTTCTGATTCAAGTCAGTTCTGGTTCTGGTTTTACTTTTGTTTGTGTTTTAGACATTCACAGGTTTTCGGTTGATTGTCTCAGTTCTGTAATTTTCAGAATTAACATTGGTTGTGAAAGTGTACTGCATTTAAAGATTGAAGCGGAAACAAAGTATGTAAAGATGTGTTTTGATGTAGCATGATCCTGAAGTATGATTTAATATAAATAAACACTCACAGTTGGATCAAGGCTTCTTGATGTTTTTGCTGTTGAATCTTAGAAATGTTATTTTCTACATGGACTAGTTATACATGTATGTTCTTTGTTAGTTACTTTAAGTTTTTATTTTGTTATTAATCGATATACTGTTACTGTTGCAATTTTGTTTTAAAGGAAGGGATCACAGGACTTTTGTCTTTAGACCTTGGAACATCTTGAGACCTTTGCGCCCCTGGATTTTGGTCTATTCGCTCTTATTGAATTAAAATTCACAGAATAATAATTTCAGAATGACATAGCAAAGGCAGCTAATAGCATTTTGCCTCAGTCTAATGAATAATCCTTTGAATTTTAGTATAATTTCAAATTATCATATGATGATACAATGTGTCAATTTTCTGATCACGATTTCAGCCTGAATAGTGCTCTACTGTTAAAAATATATAAAATGGTATCTCATGTTTCTTTATATCCCTTTTTCGTTGTCTAGAGGCTCCAGGGTTCCTTTGTGATTATGTATTGGAAAATGATCTGGGCTGACAGGCAGGCAAAAGTTATTCTGAGGAGTCTTCTTTCATACATTCAGTTATATAGTGGCTTATGTATGCTTTAACCTCTTTGAAGTGTACGAGTTTGTTATCTGTTATGTTCTTGGCTTATGAATAACTTCCTTTCAGGGGGATCTTGTCAGATTGTTTGCGAATGACCAGAACAAAATAACATGCGGTAAGCTTCTTGTCACAATAAAATTATTGTTCATCCTAAAACGTCAACCCTTCAATTATGATACCGTAGTTATCTGCTCATCATTATATCATTTAGAATGCTTGCTAGCTAGAAACTGTTCTTTATGCCTGATTAGGTGAGAATATGTTATGTAGATAGATTGTTACTTTTGTTCTTATATTTCATTGTTCAACTGAAGAATATTGTCCCACAATGCAAATACGTAACTCGAATCATAATATCCCCTTATATGCGTGGTGTTAAGAACTACTTGGTATTTGTATGCTTCTTTGAAGTTTCACTGATATTATCTTGTCTTTTTTCAGATCCAGACATGCAACTGGAGATAGACACACACATTTCAAATGGCCAAGCAACATTTAATGTTCTCATGCTTGTATGTGTTCAATGTAACTTGGTTTTAACTTCAAATGCACATGATGCCTGTTTGATCTGAACTTGTGATGCAGGAAGATTTCAGAAATATGGGTAGCTTCATATTAGGTTTAAGGAAAATAGCTGGAATCTTCTTAGATAAAGTTTCCTTTTAGTTTAATTTCCTGTTTGTTATATTACCTTAATTATGAATTAGTTTTAGGCAATTTTAGTAGCTTTAGGAATAAGCCAGGCTTCTCTATAAATAGGGTGGTTCTGCAGTAGTTGTGATGGACGTTATCTTGATATTTTATAAATCCAAAGCTTTTTAAGCTTTCAAAGACTCACTGTCTTTCTGAAATCCCTTTAGCTAGGGTTTGCCTATTCTGTCTAATTTCAATTCAGCCCCTGTTCCCCATCAATTTGGTATCACGAGCCCCAGGTTTCGATGGCACGCGAAGGCTGTGTTGCTGTCCCTAGGAGATTTCAGAATCAGGAATATGTGGTTGGGATTGAAGAATTGGGACGAGAACTTGTGCAACTCAGGTTGCTGGTACAGAACCAACAACGTGACAACCGTGCGGCAGCACGAGGCTTGATACCCAAAGGTATCGAAGATCCTGATCTACCGGAAGGTGTTGATGAGGTGTTTAAACATAAGGTAGAAGAGGTCAGTCCGTTCCATGATCCCGGAGATCAACACAGTCAACTTGATGAACAATTAGATTGCAGTGATTATTCTTCAGACGGTAATAAGGTAATATGAAGGATGGGATTTTCTCGTATGGATTAGATAATGATCCATGGGAGAAGCATGATCTTGATTGGAACAATCTACCAATCTATGATGAGTACCCGGAAGACCGGGATGAGTCTTCGGATGTCTCTGAGGAGGATGTTATTGAGTTTGGTGAGCCTTGTCTTTTAAGTGATTTAGAAAACAAGGAGGGTAAGGTGTGTTCCCGGCAGATTGGTGTTGACAGATTTGATTTGGGGTGCCAGAATTTTGTTGAGAGTGCAACAGCTTTTGGTTATGTCCAGGAAAGATTGAGTTGCACCCAACAAGTTCAGGTCTCCGAGCTTGAAGAGTTTAGCGCATTGTTTGTGGACGTCTCTAAGAGCGTGCTTGTCAAGAATATGGTACTTTTAATGAAGAACCATAATTTCCACAACAGAAAGAGGTTGTTTTGGACTACAATGATTAAGTCTTTAACCCTTGGGAAGAATCAAGGAAAGAGGTTACTGAAAGAGTCTGCAGGATGTCCTTTTGATCGAGGAAAGCTGAGGAAAATTGTTTTGGAAACACAGATATCAGATGAAAATCAAGTTCTACACAATATCAATTTTTATCAAATAACTTTGTCCAGGAAAGTGTTTGTCAGGAAAGTGTTTGTCTGTGATTGCTATGAAGACATCAAGTTCTTTATGTTTGGAGGAGGAGAAGAAAGAAGGCATTGCAGTACTTAACTGGAATTCCTTTTGATAGAGGAAAACCCAAAGCAAAACTCGAGCACGGGTTTTCTTTCAAGCATGCAGGAAGATTTCAGAAATATGGGTAACTTCATATTAGGTTTAAGGAAAATAGCTGGAATCTTCTTAGAATAAAGTTTCCTTTTAATTTAATTTCCTGTTTGCTATATTACCTTAATTATGAATTAGTTTTAGGCAATTTTAGTAGCTTTAGGAATAAGCCAGGCTTCTCTATAAATAGGGTGGTTCTGCAGTAGTTGTGATTGACGTTATCTTGATATTTTATGAATCCAAAGCTTTTTAAGCTTTCAAAGACTCTTGTCTTTCTGAAATCCCTTTAGCTAGGGTTTGCCTATTCCGTCTAATTTCAATTCAGCCCCTGTTCCCCATCAACTTGTTTCATTGTGGTAAATTGTGCCTTCTAATATTTGTTATCAGTAATTCTGGATCTAATTATCATTTATAGTTGATGTTGCTGTGTAGATTTATGAATTTCCTGTAACCTTCTACATTCTCTAGTACCAACTTGGGACTTTTCCATGCTAGTGAGTGAAATTTGAGTGCTGATTATGGGTGATTCTTTAAATTCAAAGAATGCATTTTGCTAGGATTAAGTAAGTGATAAATCTTATCAGCAGTATGCTTATTACTAAAAAGGGAAGAGAAGAGGTGTATTCTCTTATCAATGAAGCGGAATAAAACTGTCTCCTACAAAATAGAAAGAAGTTTTAAGTTTCAAATGCTTGTAGATCACTTCAAATGCTTGTAGATCACTTGCATTATGCAGCATAGACAGAATGCTGTGGTTATATTCTTTAACCACCTACTCTTGAAGGATTTAATTCTTGTGCAATCATACCTGTGATGTTGGTTGTCAGTCTGGAGTTAGTAGTTAGCTATGGACTAATTGGATGACTTGCACTTCTAGAGTACCTGAGTACAGTTTTCTTAGCATAGAGTTATATCTATTATGTAGTTTTCTTGTTTGTTATGAAGAGAAGATATGCGTGAAAAACTTTGAATTGTTAATATGTTCCTTTTGTGGTTTACCTTTTGGCGTGTCGTAGCATCATGCTTAAGAATTTAGTAAAACTCATTCAACTACTAGCTTAACCAATAAAGGGTCTACGTAAATGATGCAGCAGATATCTTTGTGATGAGGAACTCAGTCACAGATATCAAGATTACAATGGCATATAAGAGAATGTTCTAAATCCTGAAAGTTATTGTCTCACAGCTTCACATGAAACGTTGAAGATCTTTTGATGGGAAAGTGGCATTTTGTGTAGAACATCACATTATAGATGAAAATGGCAATTAGGAAACACACTAATGTCAACCCAGGAGGCTCTGCCCAGTCTCTTCTTCCATTTCCTAATGTAATTATTTACAACAGCATGCATACTTGTTAGAAGAAAATAATTGCATTGGTTCTTTAACAATATGGATACATTTCAATGTTGATTTCTTGTTGCCAGTTTTAATATGTGGTTTAGTTCTCTTGAGCGTCGGTGGTGCATCCTCATTTTTAGATTTCCAATGAGCGTTGTGTATATGCCTTTGCTTTTCTCTTTGATGGAGTGATTGGGCAATTTTGCCTCTAAATTATTCTTTTAAGATGGGGTGTATAAGAAACCTTTGAAAATTTTTTCTGACTAATTCTATTTTTTTGAAATTAGTAGATTGTGGTTATGTGATTTCCTCGCCTTACACGTACATTGCATGGAGAAGTAAATTTTGAACCACTGGAGCAAGTTTTGATATGTGAATTATGTGTTACCGTAACATGGCTTGCCTATATTCAATTGTTGACTACCACTTTTGCTCTGAATCTATGTAATGGATGTGAATATCATGCTTTGAATTTTCTCTCATTTTCTTGCAAAATTAGTTTCTAATTGTTGACACTTGCTGTTATTTAGGCATTTCTATTTCTGTGTCTTTTTGCGTTTGCATTACTAATAACTTCACTCTCAACCCCCAACTCTTAAACAGATAGATTCTTCTGAAAACTGGGAAACAGCCACCCTATTTGTGAGACGATCTAGTTTCCAAGTTAAAGTTTACAGAACACAGGCCGTGGTGATTGCAGAGAAGTTTTCGAGAGACTTAGCGGTATGCTCTTTATTATGAATCTAACTTTTTGATTAAATTATTATATTCTATGCTAGGGATTTTTTGTTGTAGATTATCTCCTCTATTAAATAATTGTACTAGAATAAATTTTTATCGAATGCCCTCTTCGTTCCTGGGAATTTAGATTTACATTAAAGAATTGCGTTATGGTAACTTGCTCTCCCAGCTTAGTTATATTTTCTTCTACTAAATGTTTGATAAATATATTTGGACAGTCAAGATGCTGTTTGTTTTAAAGTTTTTTATGCAATAGCTGGCATTTTTCGCAATATTGAACCTTCTTATGGTCTGCAAGTTTGACAATTGGATTTGTAGGTTATTAGTTGAGTATTAGTCTGATGCCCGCTTTTCGCAAAGACTAGTAGCAATATATAAACCGTGAAAGCTCAAAGCCAATATGGACCAGTCAAAATACTACCCTGCAATTCATTTATAAGTTTATCAAACATACTCAGAACATGATGGCGTTTAAAGATGTGTTATTAACGACTTTCTCTCTTTCCTTTTGCAGATAAAAGTTCCTAATGGGTTATCATCACAGTTTGTTTTGACTTGCGCAGACGGCTCATCACATTTTTTCAGCACCAACAATGATGTTCGGTAAGTTTACTGCATAATTTCTGAAATAAATACCCAGTTACTCTATTACAAGTAGCATTGATTGCTATGTTGTTTTTTACTGTGATATTTCCTGGACCCCAACTTGGTTGGGAATATACTGTGTGTGTTGATGTTGACTTTCCTTTTTGATCTTGGACACGGCTTTGTATGGACAGTAACCTTAGGATTGTGCCTAATACATACTTTCGAAGTGATTTATGTAACCCTCTAGTTTCTCCACAAAAGGGTGCAGTGTGGAATAGTTAAAATTCTAAGACATATTTCTCTTCTTGTTGCATTCATTAAGGTTCCCAGTTCCGACAATGAAATCATGGTTGTTGCTTTCTTTGGCAAACTTTAATTACTTTGTGGTGTTGATAACACATCTCTAAATGCCATCAATTATTTTGTGGACTGGCTCTCTTACCTTTTGCAAATTAATTGTTGTCAGTCTCTTAAATGTAGCTCCATCAGTGCTGTGCAATTCTTGTCACATTTTGATGTAATCACCGCTTTTCTTTAGCTATTGTGCATTTAATGTGGCCTTTTTTTATTTGTTATTCTTCCCCTCACCCAAAGCATTTGCTCTTGCAGAATGCGTGATACGCTTGTCTTGACAATAAGAATTTTCCAAAGCAAGGTAATGCTGACATACTCTTTACAGATGTGTGTTTGATGTGTTTCATATCTTTTTGTTTGAGGCGTTGAATTTTATTCCCACTTACTTTCATTGACCTGGAGTAATGTAGATAGTTGGATTCATTTAGTAACTTCATAGTTTTATTTTACTTCAAGCAGGCATTGGATGAGAAAAGGAAAGGGCGGGCTTAATTTTTTTCATGAAAAGTATAGTTTGTGTAGTTAGGTAATTATTCTTTGTAGCAAAATGGAGAGTGTGAGAACAATGCTGTATATGCACATATCCCTTGTATACCAATTTTCTCTCCCTATTAATAAAAAAGACGTGGTTTTTTCCTATCCACGTTCTTTGTTGTAAGAACCCCCTGTTTTACATTGTACAGTTGCAGATTGCAATTTGAGTTTTTAAGTTAATCGAAAATGGTTTTGTTTCGCATGGGGTTCTGGAATTAGCTTAGTAACTAGGAATTTAGGATCATCTGAACTGTATTACCGTTCATTAGTCCGCTTCCTTTCATTACCAGGATAGTTCATACCATCTTAGCAGATAGGGGACATCCTGAGATCGAGCAGCGACACATTGTTACTGTGTAGTGTCATTGTAGAGATGTGAAGTTCAGATGTCATAAACACGGTTGGTAGAGATGTGAAGTTCTTACCTTTATTTAAGTTTTAGATCGCCCTTCATGACTGCTTGAACTTGGAAAATACTAATTTGATGTTAATATGCTTCCACTAGAGAGTCCGAGTTGATTCTTATATCCATATTCAAGACAGAGTAGATTATTATTATTAGCTAAATCAGAAAAAGAAAAAAAATAGACAATGTCCTTTTGCCCACGTTTGAAATGTGTAGAAAGCCAAGTTTTATTTCTCTTTTATGAATGATATAAAATGGATGCGTATTCTAGTCGAACAAGATTACTGGGTTTTCACTAAACTGTTTGATTTAACAAGCATTTTTCTTGTATGTTATGAGTGCCTTTTTGTATAGTACACGCTTCCATCTTCTTACTCGAATTTTGTTTCTGAGGACACAAAATTGAACAAGAAGATTTGAGGAAACAAGCTATATATGTTATTACTACTTTTTTAAGTAAACGAATACAATTGTTGAGTAAAAACAAATATCGTTTCACTAATTAAACACGATTAAAGAAAGTAAAAAGTCATCTTAACATCTTTAGGTCGACAAAAAGCAGCCACCCCATGACATAAAACAATATCAGTTTCACTCGATAAATTGTCCCAAGAAAGCTCAGCCAAGAAGGGAAATTAAACAAATGCATAACAATGGTGTCTTATTGAGTGATTTTGCAACAACCCTTGAGTCACTTTCTCGAGTGGGACAACCAACACTTTAGTTCTTTTCTTCTTTCCTTTTGTTTTTGTTTTAATGGTCGTAGATGATTTTTTTTTTTTTTCTTTGAAGGTGTGGTGTACTCCACACATCCAAAAATATACTTCATCAACCTAACTTGGACGGCAACAGTGTGCTGATTCATCACTTTCATCAAAAACCCAACCAAACATCATCTATTTGGTCAACAAATCATCACACACATGAGAGATCAAAACCAACCAAAAAATTTTTTTTTAAAAAAATTGTATATCTATCCGGTATCTATTATTGATAACAGTAACAAAATTTATTCGCTGAATTATAAGTATTATAAGTATTACGATGAATATAACACTACAAAAAAATTCCAAATAACGTTAAGTAAAGCTACAAAAGAATAAAAAAAAAAGAACAACAAAAAAGTCACTCCTAAAAGAATAGAGTAGAGAACACCTCAAATTCCATTTTGCTTTCCTTACCCTCTAAGCCCCCTTAGAACACACTCCTCCTTTCCACTATTTTCTCTCCAACCATCTTTTTTCTCTTTAGCAAAATCAAGCCCTTCTAGCTATGTGAATGATGGGAAATCATTCATAGGATTGCTTCAGATCTTCACTGGTTTTGAGGCTATTTTTCCGGCTGAGATGGCCTCTCCTTCTGCAGTTAGTCCTTCTGGTTCTTTTGCACCTTATGATGCTTACAACAAGGATTGCTCACAAGGGATATGTAGCATTTATTGTCCACAATGGTGTTACTTGTTTTTCCCTCCTCCTCCTCCTCTTGGAGGTGATGATGATGGTTCATCAGGTACCGCATTTTCTCCTCTGATCATAGCGATAATCGGCGTTTTGGGAAGCGCTTTCCTTCTAGTCAGCTACTATACCATTGTGACAAGGTATTGCAGGAGAAGAGGCAGTAGGGATTCACACACAGAATTCGAAGCGCATCGGGATGAAGTTCATCAAGATCAGTGGCAGGTTGCAAATGCTGCAGGTGGTTTGGATGAGTCTCTCATTAAGTCCATCACAGTTTTCAAGTACAGGAAGAGTGACAAACTGGTGGATGGAACTGAATGTGCTGTTTGTCTGAGTGAGTTTCAAGAAGAGGAGAATCTCAGGCTGTTGCCAAAATGTTGTCATGCTTTTCATCCTCCTTGTATCGATACTTGGCTCAAATCGCAGTCGAATTGTCCGCTTTGTCGCTCCAATGTTCATCCTTACGCCCCTGTTTCGCCATTTCCTGCGCCGAATCCTCAAACAACTTCCTCTGCTGTTAATGTGTCTTCTCTTGAAGTTCATAGAGAAAATGATTTGGTTTTTGTGGTGGAAGATCAGCAAAGGGATTTAGTGTCTGTTAGCCTGGCAGGCCATGATTTTGAAGATAATCTTCCTAAGGATACCCTTCTGGCCAACATTGAAATGGGAAATTCTGAAGACAGAAACAGAGTAAATGATGGTGATGATGATCAAGAGGCAACTCAGCAATTCAGAAGATCAGTGTCATTAGGTACATTTTCGCATCGGCAGGGCAATCTTTTGGTTGCTGATATCCTTAGAATTGGTGAAGATAACTGTAGCTCTGATCATCTAGAAGGGATTTCGCGATCCGGGATCGAAATCAAATCATCAAAAGTGATCCAGGATGGTCAGAGAAGTAGCAGGGAAGGGGATATGGTAGTAGCAATAAGTCCTGATGCAATGAGGAGATCTTTTTCAACTGGAAAGATTCATTTCTAAATTGGCATGATGAATACAGGGCAACTTCACAACTGAAATGACAAGTTGTGTTCTTGTGATTTGTGAATACTAATTTGTTTAATTTACACACTTGTAAAGAGTTTTTCCAGATTTTTTTCCTTTCGTACCAAATCTGAATCATAGAAATTAGTGATTATGAGCGTAATTATTGCACCAAGATTATCATCAATTTGGAGTAAGTCTACCGGGAAAATTTCAAGTCTAATTTTTTTTTTTTTTACCAGTTATGTGATTTGTTGTTTCATTATTTGATTGAAGGACACAATTCTCATCAATTCCAAATGTGCTTGTTGCTTAATGCCCGTTTCTTCTAAGCAGAATAAGAGAAGTTGGTTGGCCTAATTATTCATAGAACCAAGAGGTAATACACCAATGTGGCAATGACGAATGACCGAAGCAAAGTGCACCTGCCATTGAATGTTTAAAAGTGCATTATGCGCTATTTGGTACACCAACTCTATGCGTATGCATTACTTTAAAGTGTACTTCAACGGGGAATGTTCGGTTTTGTGTCACTTATGTACAGTGAAAAAATTTATAGTGAAAATTTTTAATGATTTATGTGTAAAAATAATTGGCATTCTACTTGTCTTGGGAAAACTTAATTAGTTACTAAAATTTACTTTAAAAAATAATTAGTGTCCTTCTAACTTCCTCCTCCATTACCGGCACAAATTTCAATCCACCGACTGCTTCCTTTGCACACCCAACTAGGAACTTTAGTTAAACACCGGGAAAAAAAATATTCTGAAGAAAGCTTTGAATTTCAGGATTTAGAATTCTCGAGACAAACCAGTATTCATAGGTCTAAAGCTTTGATATTCAGATTTTTGCGGTGTTGCTCATATATAAATGACACATGCATGTTCATCGAATTAATTAAAGCAAGGTTTCCCCAAATTAAATCGTGAATATGCGCAAATTCCTTCAGCTTTTGGCGAAATCTGCATGAACCGTTGGAGCTCTGCAATCAAACGTAGAATATTGTCCAAAATTTGACAAAACTATATCCAATTTCGTATTGATATTCAATGGAGACTTCTCCACGTCCAATATTCAATGAAAAAACAAGGAAGACAAATTAATTTCTAGATTTTTGTTGGGTTTTCCTTCTGCGGTTGCGAGGGGGGAGGAGAACTGTCGATTTGAGGAGGGGGCTGGGAGAGGTGAGGAAGATGAAAAGTAAATCATATTTTTAGGTGGATAATTATATCTTTTTACTTTAAATTTGTTTTGGATGCTAAAATTTGTTTTGACAGAATCGCCACCCTAAAAAAAATTCTAGTTAGAGTGTGAGACTATAAATTTAAAATTCGCCTTTACAGAAAGTTAATCAGATACAAAGGGCGAAATCCGACCAACAAAAGAATTTCTTGGGAGACTCTAAAACTAGCCTTGACAAGAAGAGGTGAGTTACAATTTGAAAGTAAATTAAAAAAGGGCTAAAATCCAAATTACACTGACTAGGATCCTAGGAAATCCTTTTGACATGAATTGTAGTCGGCAACCCATAAATGGATCAGTTGTTGATTTCAAAAGCTACTCACAGTCACAGCAAGTCATGGGAGAGCCGGGGTAGGAGAAAGAGAGAGAGAAAAAAAAATTTAAAAATTCATATGATTAAGGGAGTAAACGAGAGATGTGGGAGAGGGGAAGATGAGGGGGTTGACTTCAGGGGGTGTTTCGGCCAAAAACATTTCCAAAAAAAGATGTGGACAAAAATAATTTTTTTCTATTTTTGGTGGACAAAACTAGTTATCTCGGATTTGCTAAATTCGAATCTATCCATTTTGTACTAGATACAAATAGAATTGATTCATCATATAGTTGTAATACAAGGAGATTCGGGTTTGCCAAATCCGAATATAGTACAAAATGGATAGATTCGGGTTTGCCAAATCCGAATCTAGTACAAAATGGATAGATTCGGATTTGGCAAATGCGAGACAACTAGATTTGTCCACACCACTCTGAGACATATATTTTTATCCAGGTCCTTCCATTGAAAATTATTTGGGTATAAAACTCGACTTCAGGAGGGGTAGATATGGAAAAATAGAAAAATATGCCCTGGATGCTAGAAATTATTGTGGCAAAATCGCCTCCCTTATATTTATATCAAACCACAACAGAGATTATAAAACTAAATAGTTGTATCTTTTTTTTCATAGCGTTATGGACCGCATTAAATTTTTATTCGTGCTAAATAATTTATGTGAAAGAAACAAGACAACACCAAGGGAAGAAATTAAGGACAATAATGATCGGTCAAAACAAAACGGTAGCATTAGTTCACTGGAGGAAATTAAGGAGTAGCATAGGTAGTCAAATCATATTTGTAGCAGTAGGAAATTCCTCCCTCATTATAGATTTTAATGTTGTATATTTTCAGTTACATTTGGTATAGATAGAAATGTTTTGTTTATAAAGAGATGTAATGTGTAAATGAGAGTGTATTGAAATGCAAATACATTTTTCAAATCTTATCAATTTCATCAAAATACATTGATAATGAAAAATCAAATAAGATTTCAAGTACCAATAGTCATTAGAAAACTTAACGGTAAAACCTTTCAATATAAACTTTTGGAATGCGTCTTGTTCTGCTGAAGCTATGAAAAGCGACGACCAAGTTTCGTTGACGTACTTTTCCATTGGCCATGGAATATTGGAACAAAATTTAAATATTACCGACCAGTCAATTTAATTTCAACAATATTGACTTTCCTAAATTAGAAAAAAAAAGAAAAAAGAAAAGAGGTTTGTAGATAATTAATTTTTTCCGAAAGGGGAAAAAAAGCAAAGGAGGGAAGTTCCGATTGAGATTAGGATTTTAAGATTTCCGATGAAGGTTAAGGAAATTGGGGGACCTGAAAAGTCTATAAATAGAGAGGTAATATTTGGTACAAGGTATCTATCGTCGTTCTGCCGTGAATTTCAATCAGAAAGGAAAGAAAAAGAAAGTTGGCGAAGGCAAGAATCAGAATATTCAATTCTTATTATTATTAGAAAGAATGGAGGTTTCTCCGGGAGGTTTTATTACAACCGTGAAACTGCCGAGGGCCACAAGATTAAAGAATAAGGCGCCGGCTCCCATCCAGATCACCGCGGAGCAGATTCTCCGGGAAGCCCGGGAGCGGCAAAAAGGAGCAGATTTTCGCGCACCAAAACAACAAATCAATGATGATACAGAACTCGACGAATATCGCCTTCGAAAGCGAAAGGAATTTGAAGATTTAGTTAGCCGGGTGCGCTGGAACAAAAGCGTTTGGGTGAAGTACGCCAACTGGGAGGAATCACAGAGAGATTTCAACCGGGCGCGTTCGGTTTGGGAACGAGCCCTCGACCAAGATCACAGAGATCACACACTGTGGTTGAAATATGCTGAGTTCGAGATGAAACACAAATTCGTTAACCACGCTCGCAATGTTTGGGATCGAGCCGTGTCGCTTTTGCCTCGCGTTTCTCAGTTCTGGTATAAGTACGTACATATGGAAGAAATGCTGGGCAATGTCGCAGGGGCTCGGCGTATTTTCGAGAGGTGGATGAATTGGCAACCGGACCAGCAAGGTTGGCTTTCATACATTAAGTTTGAGGTGAGGTATAACCAGGTAGACAGAGCTCGGGCGATTTTTGAGAGGTTTGTGGAGTGTCATCCAAGGGCAGGTTCTTGGATTAGGTATGCCAAGTTCGAGATGAAGAATGGCGAAATCGATCTAGCAAGGAACTGTTACGAGAGGGCCGTGGACAAGTTGGCCGGCGACGAGGAGGAAGCTGAGCAGTTGTTTGTGGCTTTTGCTCAGTTTGAGGAGAAGTTTAAAGAAGCTGACAGAGTCAGGTGTATTTTCAAATTCGCACTCGATCGTCTCCCGAGAGGCAGAGCACAACTCGTATATAACAAGTTTGTTGCTTTTGAGAAGCAGTTTGGAGACACAGAGGGAATTGAGGATGCTATTGTCGGGAAGAAAAGATTCGAGTATGAGGACCAAGTTAGGAAGAATCCCCACAATTATGATGCTTGGTTCGATTATGTACGGCTGGAAGAAAATTCTGGTACTAAAGAGAGCGTTAGAGAAGTATACGAGCGAGCTATTGCTCAACTTCCCCCAGCCGCTGAGAAACGATATTGGCAGCGGTATATTTATCTGTGGATTAACTACGCTTTCTATGAGGAGCTTGAAGCTCAAGACATTGAGCGCGCAAGGGAAGTGTATGCATTATGCTTAAAGTGGATTCCCCACGAGAGATTCTCATTTGCAAAGATGTGGTTGTTGGCCTCCCAATTTGAGATCCGCCAGCTGAATCTTCCAGCTGCAAGATTAATCCTTGGAACAGCAATTGGAAGGGCCCCTAAAGGCAAGATCTTTAGGGAGTACATTAAAATGGAACTGCAGTTAGGGAACATGGACCGTTGCCGTAAGCTGTATGAGAAGTATATCGAATTCTCACCACAGAGTTGCTACGCGTGGATCAAGTACGCGGAACTTGAAAAATATTTATGCGAAACGAAGCGAGCTAGATCCATTTTTCAGCTGGCTATTGACCAGCCTGCCTTAGACATGCCTGAGTTGTTGTGGAAGGCATACATTGAGTTTGAGATGTCCGAAGGCGAGTTCGAAAACACCAGAGCGCTCTATGAGAAGCTCCTGGAACGAACGAAACACCTAAAAGTCTGGTTAAGTTACGCCAGGTTTGAGGCTGAACAAGAATGTGACCTAGGTGATGATGAGCACAAGAAGAAACAACGTCTCCAGAGAGCTAGGCGTGTTTTCGAACGGGCCCTTGATTACTTCATCTCTTCTGCTCCGGAACTTAAAGAGGAAAGGGCGATGCTGTTGGAGGGATGGTTGGATGTTGAGAGTTGCTTTGGAGTAGACGGCAACGCTGATCTCGTGCGCGCTAAGTTGCCAAAGAAACTCAAAAGGAGAAGACGGATAGAGACCGAGGATGGCAGTTCGGCGCCTGCATACGAAGAATACATTGATTACTTCTTCCCGGATGAAGAAACACATCACACAAATACCAAGATTTTGGATGCTGCTTACAGATGGAAAAGGCAGAAACTCAATGTTCAAGATGATGGGATTTGCATCTGTTAGTGTTTTAGTTCCGAACCTTCTAGTACGTATGTACCCTTGTGGCTATTGTTATACATATTGATTAATAGTACGTATGCTTTTCTTTTCTTTTTTTTTTTTTTCCAATTTCTTCTTAACAGATCTGAAAAAAGGAAAAAAAAAAATTGTCTTTTGGTGAATCAATGCCAGATTGCGTGTAACTATTGTGAAAAATAATTCTAAGGACAAATGATAAATTGAGAGCGTACATTATATTGAGAGCAAAATATATTGTCAATTGTTAACATTACTCTTACATAAGATTTTAATGAAAGAATTGAACCTATTTATCCTTGTCCTTATAGTTAATATAAAGGCACAGTAGGCAAAAAATTAAATGACCCAAGAAATATTCATGACCACCTTCAAAGCGATCTCGTCCTTTGGATGGGTTCAATCCGACGGTTAGTATTTAATCATTAATTAGGGGCAAAAACAAAATTCCATTAATTCAGAGGATAAGTAACCGTAAGTTTTTGAGGATAATAAGTAAAAATAAAAACCCACAATAAACAAACATAATTTCTTGAGGGTAAAAAATAGAAACCCCCATGAAGAAAACGAAGTCGTCCCTTTCCTTTGCTTAATTTTTTCCCAGAAAACCCCCAACCAAATAAACGACGTCGTGTCTTCATCTTCACCAGCCTAAACAAAACTCCTCCCTCTCCTCGTCGCTCTCAGAAATACATCTTCCCGACTTTCTCTCCGGCCACCCTCTGACGGAAATCAGCCCATCGCCTCGTTCCCACCGTCACCACAACACTGCCGGCGGCGTTTCCACCAACACCATGGCCTCGGGCCGTGGATTTATTCTGGCCCAACAAGAAAAATTTTTCGATTTTCTTCTTCAAATAGGATTAGGAAATCACTATAAAAAAAATTTCCCAATTCCAAATCGTCCCATGATTTCAGAATCGCAATCGGATTATAACTTCAAAGTTCACAACCGGTCTATAAAAACCCCATCAATGCCCACAAATAGAACCACCCCAAGCTCTCTCTACAGCTTTCCAACTCCCGGCTCGTAACAAGTAAATTTCTCATTCTTTGCCACTATTTTTGGATGAATATTTTTGCAACTCCCGGCAACTATCCACTGTACCTGTGTAGCATCAAGTAACTAGCGTAGGCTCAATTATTTTTCATTCTGCATCACTATGTTTTCCCTTCAGACTTTAAGAAATTTAGGATTATCATTGGTCTGAATTGTGTGTGTTCATGATTGAGTGTTCTGACCTGCTATGAGTTTGAAGTTGATCGATTTTCCATGCGTTTGATTTTGCTCCAACTTAATTTTGATTCCATGCTTTTATTTGAAATTTCAGTTTAAATTTGAGTGTTGATCAGCCTTATTTTTCTCCGTTGGAATCCTTAAAGTTTATAGCTTGATCACTGTTATTATCGTTGCGATTGTTTAATGAGATGTTGCGTGTTCCTGCTGTTATTTTTGGACGAATATTTTTGCAACTCCCGGCAACTATTCACTGAACCTGTGTATCATCAAGTTGCACATGAATATTTTTGTTTGGATTTTTAGTAATAATTCCAACAGACACCGTGAAGTTTGCCTACATCGTTGCTATTGTTCTTGTGATTATTTCAGTTTTGACTAATTAAATCATGAAAAATCATAATTACAAGGTTGATTCTCGTGTAGTTTTGCATGACCTGCTTCCCATTTTGATTCTCTGATTATTGTTGTAATTGTTTTGATGTGTTGTTGTTGCTCTTGTATGTTGCATCTCCTGGTTCTTTGTGTTTTTCAGAAATCAAGAATTATATATATACTTTTTAGTTCAGTCCTTTGTGTTGTTGATGTGATATTGTTGTCAGTTCTTGCTTCCTTGCTTCTTTTTTATTTATCTTAAAATAATTGACAAGGAAATTGTGATTCATCAACAATTGAAAATAATCAATTGAGCTTCTTTTTTGGTTTTCCTGATTTCAATGCGTTTGGTATTGTATGTTGTTCCCGGTCACTCCATTGTTACGTGTAGCTCTGCGTTTGGTAGGATTTTATGATTTTTTGGTTATTTCCCATGTTGCCTTTTCAGTAAAACCATGCGTGCTGAATAGCCTACATGGCTTTTGACGTGTTAAACTTAATGTCTCCTAACTGTTCCATGAAAACAGATTTCGGCTCCTCTAAAGGGCAACCTCATGCATCTCTCGCGAAAGAAATTTTTCCAAGTCCAAGCTTTTTTCTTCTTACACGGGTATTTTTTTGGTCTTATTGTATTTCTGAACTCATATTACAACTGCAAAAAAAAAGAGAATCCTTGATTACGTACCTTAACACTATGGTTTTTGTTGCTTCCTGCGTATTTGTTTAGAATGGCTCCTCATTAGGATCTCCCCATTCTTTAATGGTTACGATTAGATTGCTTATGGCGACTTCAAAGCTGTTGTAGATTTTGATCAGGGTTCACTGGGTTGCTCCTAACAACATTGTCGAGTTTGACCTGCTTTGTCTGTATGAAATCATGCTGATTAATGCTTGGTGACATGTCATGTTGAAATAACCATCCTATAATGTTATTTTTGTTTGATGAGAATCTGGCTAAATAAAAAATGTTAGAACACTATTTAAATATTGTTTAGATTTAGTATTCTTTGCTTATTGCTAATATCTGATAGTTCTAGGGTATTTTATTTGTTACCGATGGCAATAGATTTTTTGTCGCTGTCTAGAGTAGGCATAAAAAAGGCATCACAAGGGTTGCAATCCGCTGGTGCAGGGGCTTTACAGTTTGCCCTTGCAATTCACCAGCCATAAATTAGTAGGGACTTTACAATTTGCCCCTTCTGATGCTTGCTTGAGGGATTAGCCCTGAAAATTTTGCCACTTTAATTTCTAGCTTTGCTTGTTTAGCCCTGCATTATCCTCTTCTAAGTTTTTTTCTGATCTGCTTATGACGGAAAAGAGGCACTGTCATTTTAGATCTGAACTTCTTGAATCCCTTTTTCTTTACAGTTTATGTATGAAAGTAGCTATCAACTTAGGCTCTCTTTTTAAGTATGTCAGCACATCGAACTCTCAAAACAGTCGCCTGTTTGTGCCCCTATTTTATTTGACAGTTGCTTTGTTATCTCTATATATTAAGTCTACTCCAATAAATAGCCGGACTAGGATTAAGTTATTTCTCTTGATTCTTTTGTGATGAATTTAACTCTTCAATTCCATCATTTGGTTTGAGTTACAATTGCATAATTTATATGGAGTTTCCATTTCTTTCAAGGGTAAAAAACTTGTATCTTGGAGGCATTGTTACCTTTCTAAAGTGAAATTCCTAGCTGTATCAGCAAGCTATATATTTTTTTGTCTTTGACTAATTGTGTCTTCAACAATAAGAGTCTTTAAGTAGTTATATTCTGTGCCAGATGATTTTATCAAGGGGTTGTGAGTATGGGTTATCTTTTAACATGAGTATTGTATTCATTAGCATTTTTGCAGTGGGTGGTAACAAACAGGTTACAAAATCTTGGTGTCGTACTAGACCTAGTGATCAATCTCGTGAGAAATTAAGTGCAGGCTTTGGGGAGCAGAACACAGGTTTAAGCATGCCTAGCACTTTTCCTGGACTTGAGGGTACTATACCATCCAGGAATTCGAGTTCCTATGGCAATAGGTGGCTTTCACAGGCTACAAGCTGGGCAAATACCGATAATGCCAGGACATAATCCCTTCTAGAATAGGAATCCAAACTATGCAGTCTAATTTAATCTCATCTCAAGGATGCAACTGCTGTTGCCTCATGGACCTCCTCGCGTCATCAATCAAAATTAGCATAGATGTATATCAGCTGCAACCTAGAATAAAGATTAACCAACTTTCTTGACAATTTATTGCAGAAGCAATGCATCAGGCGTCAAATTTGTTCTCTGATGAAAACTCGTTTAAAATATAAAGAGTTTTCAATCACGATGACTATAATTAAAAACTATTACTAGATGCTGAAATTAACACCACAAAGGATTAGGACCCTGAAAAGAAATTTGCACATAAAAAACAAATGAACTTCCAAGTAATATAAACATAATAGAGGTTTTCACTATGACGGGTGTCTATTCATTTTTCTCTTAAAGATTATTATTTGCCTGTGTATTGAATCAACAATACCCACACCGCATATCTTTCCCGAAGAAAGTAGTGAATAAGGGCACTGAAACAGCAAAGCACACAAGGCTTACCATGTTTCTCCAACCATGGCCTACCAAAAGGCAAAAGCACTAATTTATCTCTTTGAGCAGACGAGATAGCAAGATTTCATTTTTCTTGATATAAACACAAATTCAATTTCTGTAAAGAAAATTTGTACCTCTATACCGTTTAAGAGAGGAGAACTGTTTACATTTATTTTACAGTGATGAAATCCCAATCTCGTTCCCTGTTAGTTTCCCCCTTCCTGAACAAAACTTTTCCAACTAAAAGATAGTTCTTCCATTTCCTTAAAACTTGAAAAGCTATCAAGAGATCAAAATCAACATTTATTACTCAGAGACCAAATCTTCCAAATTATTCCAAATATTTTAATTGATTAAACCCAACACTTTCTTAAATATTTTAATTGATTAAAAACAACATTTAGAATTTGAGAAGCTACAATGTCATAGTAGTTTATATAACGCTAGAAGAACGGTGTCGAGTTCCATAATCACAATTGCTCAAAAAAGGAGTTTAAAAATAATTAAAATTGCCATTAGGATTTTGTGACTAAAAGGAAATACCATGAACAAAAATAATTTAAAAAAGAAAGATAATTACAATTGCTAATAAAATAGTATTTAAAAGTAGTAAAAAATTACCATTAGGAATGCAAACCTATGACTAATAGAAAATACCATGGATAAAAATTAAAAATTGAAAGGAAAAAAATAAAGTGTACTCCAGAATGATAAAATAAACAATTTAGCTGTTTTGGATGATATATTTTTTAATTTTTTTTTTGTTTGGATTGTTTAAATCCCAAACAACTCAAACC